CATTGACATGCTGGGGCGAAGTCTAAGTATCTCTGCTCCGCTTGCTGTGATATCTCAACGCTGCCAGAAGCAGAAGTAGAAGAAGAAGAAGCAGAAGCAGACAACCCAAACTTCATCGGCATCTCTGAACCGGTGTAGATGTGCTAGAATGTCGCCTGTGGCTCAGGGCCTCGTTATCCCGGAGCCCCGCGCACGAGACCACCCAAACATCTGCTGCTGAGAAGCCGGCTACACCTAAACAAGACAACTCCTCGCCTGATCCAACCATTGGGGGCGAGGGGCACATTTGCTCAGCTTTTCGGCTTCATCATCCAGGCCGATGGGCTTCAGGAGGGTCCTGGGCTTAGGGATTTTCAGGGTTTTTGGGCTTTGGGTTTCGGGGGGCAGGGGAACAACCAGACGAAGGGAACCTCGACCTCGGCTTGATACTGTGCCTTTCAAGGTCCTGCGGGTAGGCCCGCTGCCCCTCCCCCCCCCCTACCCCCACAAACAAAGAGGTTAGAGTTCACCCCCGAAAAGCCTCTGCCACATCCCCTAAGCCTGCCGGTGACACAGGACCGATATCCGAAACCATCAACTCCGGCAGGGTGCTTTGCCGCTTCGAAGCCACTGGACACCTCCACGTGAAGAGTCTGCTTCATGGCAACATGCACATGGACATCAACCTTGAAGCAAACCTACAAACCCTGAACCCCCATCAAAGAAGTGTCCGACATGTGAGGGGTGATAGAGAGGATGGGCCCTTTTGGAGCCACCCAGATCAACCCAACCCTCCCAACCTAACACCACCACAGAAAACAGAACAGCGGGAACCTATCTTAAGTGGAAATCTCTGCCCGTACTACTTCAGCCTTTTCATCCTGAAGCCCTCTGTCCAACACCTGTTGCACCTGGACGTGCTGAGTCCAGCTCCAACTGCCCTGAGGTCGAGACTACGGTAACCTTTTTTTGCAATCGGACTTCTAAACAGGTGAAGAAGCCCCCTCATATTGCAAGCATACCTCCGTGGCGGTGGCCCTTTCAGGTTTTGCTTTTGGATGGAGACGCCTGGACGCCCCTGGATGAAGAAGGTCCCTCTGATCGCCCCTCCAAGCCCTTCTAGCATCCAGGCCCCTCCATTCATAGGTACAAAGCTTAGGAACCGAGACCCTTGGTTTCTCTACCCGAAGTAACCCCTGCCTGTGAGGAGGTGCTGTCGTACAGGGGGCCCATCTGGCCCACGGTGGAGCCCACGAGCGTCTTCAGCCTCGACATTCGGATCTTCTGTTCCCCGTTGCCACCCGGTTATAGCTGACCTCTCTCTCGGACGCACTTTAGGGCTTCTTCTGGATTTATAGTTGAGGGTTCGGGTCTTTTTTTGGCACGGCTGGACGGACCACTCCGCATGGATTCTTGGTTCGGGTCTCGGGGGAAGGCGTTGAGGGTTGAAGTGAGCTGTAGCACACCCTATCTCCCTCTCCGTCTCTCACCCTTTTGGTTTAGAGCACAGAGTATGCGCTGTCTTCCGCTTGTGAGTACAGTTTTTAGGGTCTGATTCACATGAGGCCCTCTAAATCGACGTGTGACATGTGGGCTCTAGGGTGGGGCTTAAAGTTTGGGCTTCGCGACCTCGTGATGTTCTCGCCGACCGTGGCGTTGATATCCGCAGCATCGTCGAAGGCCTCCGGCAAGCCGAACAGAAAGCTTCCCCGCTTGTTCTTGTTTTGGGAGTGGGTCATGGAGTTTAGAGCAGGGCAGCCACTCTACACGGTGTGCGGGCGGCGTTCTGCACAAGCAACTTGCTTGCTTCCCTATTTGTTGTCAAGAAGAAGCCAACACACGCGATGGACGCTCCAAGAACCCCAAGACAAAGCTAAGAGCGGCCCCTCAAACGCCCACAGCAGAGAACCAGTTCAACAAACACACTGCTTGCACACGTGACCAAGAAATAGTTCGCAGCATCCACCACGAATCCCGAATGTCACAACATCGAACTGGCGAGTGGGCCGGGTTAACTTTTCAAGGGGCCTACAAAGCAACCCCGAAGATCAAGGGTGCGGGCGCGAGCTGCTTGATTCCAAGAGTACTATCTTTCGAGAACCGATGCTTTAAGCTTAGAGTTCTGCGTTCCAGCATGCAAACCCCAAACCCTGAAAGATGTCGGGCAGGTTCAACTGTGGCCTTCAGGGATTCGTTGCATTTCGTTGCCAGCGCCGTCACCTCCTTGTCTGCACTCTCAAGGACGGTACCTCGTCTCGGGGTTTGCAGGGCGTGGTCTTGCGGGTTCGCATCACGGGTTTAGGTTCACAGGGGGAAGGGTTGTTTTTTCTACCCACCCACCTGACAAACCGAGGCAGCTGGGAGGCCCGCAAATTTGTGGTTTAGGGGCCTGAAGTGCTTTCTTGCTATCTGAGGGGTGCTCCTGGGTTCTGCGCTTCAGGGCCTGGCTGCGTGATTGCTCAGGACATTGTAGCACCCTTTTAAGAACCAACGTGCAACATGACTGTCTTAGATTCCGATTCCAAAGAGTATGCGGGTGAAGTTGGGAAGTTGGGGGCGCGACCGCCTCTTGCGGCGCCAAGAGGCCCAGTTTGCCTGCGACTTCCTCCACGCCCTTGTTGGCAAACTCGCTGACCTCCGCACTCTCACGGCTGTAGAGTCTCACTGAACACACTGAGCCCAGATCCCAAAACCCTGAACCTCTACGAGGGCTCCCTACACCCCCCAGTTGCCTGACCATTGGGTTCGTAAGAGGCCTCGTCTACCTAAGATAGAAGGCCCTCTCTTGGCGGCTCAGAGTTCAGCTGAGGTCAAACAGAAGCACTTGCCGGGAAGGCGATCAGCACCCCTTCAATTCTCGCTAGCATCCTCGTGGCAGCAACCAAAACCCCCCAAGATGCATGGCAGGCTTGGTTCCCCTCTCGGCTTGAATGACTGCGGACCCCGGGTTTGAGGTCCATCCGAGCCTTGTCCATGACGTTTCCAAAAGCATCCTTCAGTGACGAAAGATCCGGTATCTTGGCGCTGTCTTGGCTCTGCCTGATGTGCGTCATGAAAGCAGGCATGCGGCAATCTTGCTTCTTTTGCCCCTGGGTGTGCATACGGGGATGGGGAAAGAATCTTAGCTGAAGATGTAATTGCTTTGCTGGGCATTCTTTGCCAAGGAGCAAGAAGCAGGACCTCACACTGCCCATACTGATCTCCTACACTTTCTAAACCCCAAACCCGTTTTCTAAGCCCTAAACCTTGGAGTTTCGGTCTAGCCTTCGGGGGCCACTTAGGAAAGTACCAATACCAGCTGCCAACCAGATGCACACTCTCTCCCAGGGAGACGTGGGAAAGCGTCTTCTCCTGTCTGCCAAACCACCTAAGGCCTAGTTCTCAAGCCTCAAACCCTACACGGACATGTGCATCGATGCATACTTCAACGGGGCCCTTGAAAGCATGAACCTGCCTTGCCGTTTAACGAGTGTAGCATATATAATATATACTACATCCCCGATGTGGCACCTGAGGCTCCCCTATACTCCCACAAAAAGCTCCACCTAAGATATGCGGTTTAGCGTGAAGGGCGATTGCTGACCCTTCATTCATCTTGGGCGGGACTGGGGAGGGTGGGGGATCCTTCCGACCGCCTGCAGAACCAGGCAGATACCGGAAGGGGCTGGGCTCAGGGATTGAGGATTGAGGCTTGAGGGTTCCATAGACTACAAGCCCTAGACCTGCGTACTAAGTAGCCTTCAAGAGGGCAGGGTCCTGGAGCAGCGCCACGTCATCTTGCTGGCATTCGGAGGCTGCCCGGGCCTCGCCGAACGGCCCGACTCCCAATCGAGGCGTGGGTTGGAGGGTTTTTTGAGATCTGCAGTAGGACATGGGAGGGTGGAGTTGGCATTTAACTGACAAAGGTTCAGAAAGCTTGCGGTTCCGATCTGCTGGAGCTTCATTGTGGCTTTTGCCAGGTTTTTCACACCTTCCAGGGGTGAGACCCATTTGATGCCTCTTTGGGTTCTTTAGCTAGGTTGGCCCGGTAAACTGTCTGAAAGAATATTTCATCCTGTTTTTTCTTCACAGCTAGAGTGCGACAGAATCCACGCAAGAGCCTCATCGATACACCTTTGTTGAGCGCATGGCCTTGGTTGGTGGATCTTGGCTTTTTCTCGGCTTGATTTTCTCGCTGGACCCTTTTCAGACTGCGTGCCTGGGTCTGCCCCCCTTTTCGCTCATGCCATGCATGTGAGGCACCTGGGCCACGAACGTCACGGTCAGCGATAGCAGCTTCCTTATCAGGCACCGGCATCGTGATTGAAACAGGCTTATGATAACTCAAACCCTAACCTAAACCCTAAGGCCCCAATACGTGGATGAGTCGCCTAAACCCTGAACATTCGAAACCCCTAAGCTGTGGATGTGTCGCCTAAACCCTAAACCCTTGAGATACCCTTGAGATACCCTTGCGGAGCTGAGAAAAAGGGTCCACCAATGCACAGGCGAGCGTCAAGACCGACATCGGTGCCTAGAATGGCCCGGTTGCCGCGGAACGATGCCAGGAATTCGGGAGGGTTCAGTGGAACAGCTCTAAGAGCCCTGACTCCGGAGGGCTTGAGCTTTGCACAGCGGCAGGGCAGCGGAAGATGGAGGGTGCTGGAGGGTTGAGGCTTTGGGCCTGTGCTAGGGGAAATAATGGCCAAATATGGCCAAATAGAGGGTGATGTTACCCAGAGAGGTTACAAGGTTAAGGCTTAACTTTTACCAAAGAAAGGCCTAAGGGCCTTGACTCAAGTCAGGCCAAAGAACTGCAGGAGGATGACGGATGACGATGGATAATGGACAAGAGATCAATACCTACGTTCGCCACCTTCGCACAATCATCACAAACAAAATCCAGTGGCAAAGGAGAGCTCACACTGAGAGTTTTGAATTGCCGAGAGGGGGCGGTGTTGGGCGATGGCGAGTCTCTAGTCCATGCTGCACTAACACAGGGACAGAGCCCAAGGAAACATGAAACATCCTGGGCTACCGACAGGAGGTAGGCAGTTTGGCTGGCGCCGATGGCCAAGTAGCCACCTGCCTGTCTCGTACTGCCAAGCTTCGCATGGCTTGGATGCTTGAGGACCAGGGCTTGACTTTGGAGGATAGACCAGGCATCGTCACTACGTGAAACGACGTACGTATGGCGTGTCGGGGTTCCTGTGACCTACAGCTTGCATGGTGTTCGGGCTTGCGGGCTGTTCAGAGAAGCCTCAGTAGGTTACCCAGGGGTTATGGTTTGAAACCTGCGTTTCTCAGGGTTCATGAAGGATACAACTTGCAAGATGGTTCATGGGCTCACTCGGAAGGCTTGACTTGGTGCATCTACGGCGTAGTTGAATCTAGTTACTGCCAGAGGGGACCACAATTTCCTGCGGTTATCTCGGTTTGCTGCAGTCGCAGTGAACTTCCAATGGACCCTGAGCGCGTCGTAGCCAGTCTCTGGCTTCTGTACTCCCGTCGGCCCGTGTAGGATAACCCACCAGGTTCCTTGTCTCAAAATGAAAGACCTGTAGAGCTGGCAAAAAGGGTTGGGCTTGCTACCTGCGGGTTTGGCAGATTCTTTCAAGCTGGATTGAGCGGTGTGGATGGGTCTTTGAAACGGATCGAGTGGAGCGAGGGCCGTCTAGCAAGCAGGCTATTGGCTGCTTGGAAGATCAGGACATCACACGAAGTTCCGCCCACCACCACGTCACTTGGCCCCATCGAGCTGCAGGAGCTGCTGGAAGTCACCAAATGTGAGCAAACCGTCGTGATCACGATCCGCCTCCTGGAACAGCGCCTGGGCCTCCTCCTCCTCAGTTTCTCCACTGAAACGTCGCAGCGCTTGAATGAAGGTGGCCTTGCCAATCCTGGCTCCGTGGACGTCTGCCGACTCCTTGGGGAGTGCCTCCCAAATCCTTTGTAGCTCCTCCTCGCTCAACTTGACTCTTCGCTCCACATATCCAAAATAGTTGGCTTTGTCAATCTTGGGCACAGTGCTCCAGTCAAAAGGTGGCATCGGCACCGGGCTAGCCCGGGGCGGCACCTCCCGTCGCCACGCCCGCAGGCGGCGCTGGAGCACCGCATCATCGCGCAAAGCACACGCTTCTTCGAGGTAGCGCACGGCCATGTCCATCCAATGGTTGCGCATGTCCCCGAGCTCAGCGTCCTTGGCATCTTGCACGCTCAAGGCTCTGCAGGCCTCGGCAGCCAGGCACAGTGCCCGCGGTCGCTCAAAGCCGAGGCGCAAGGCCACCATGCAGTCGTCCAAGGCATCCTTGTATTGCCATTTGCGATGGAGCACCTCGGCCCGTTTTAGCAAGACTGCGCAGCGCAGCGGGGCAACACCCGTGTCCTCAGTGGGCAGCAAGCCTATCGCATCCGAGAAGAGCCTGTCTGCGTTGAAGATGTCACCTGACTCCTGGCACTCGTCGCCCTGCTTCAGGAACATGCCCGCCATAGTCACCGCAGCAAAGCGACGTGCGGTCGTCAGCTCCTCATGCAAGCCGGGGAGAGCAGGCGCTGTCTCCTGGCTCGGAGTGATGAGATTTAGCGCAGCGGCCCAGCAAGCATCTGCCTCCTGCCAGTCTCCACGTTCGGCTGCCGCATCGCCGGAAGCGCGCAGACCACAAACCTTGGCTTCTGCTGCCGCCCCTTGCAGCGCCTCCAACTCCACTCGCAAGGCTTCGGAGGCCTTGGCCTGTATCAGCACGCGATTGGCAAAGGAAAGGAGCTCCTCCATCTGGCTCCCGGCTACAAGCGACTCTTCACCAAGCAGCCCCGTGACCTGGTCCATGGCACGAGCTGCCAAGCCCTGCAAGGCCTCCCTCAGCTCCGTGGTTGCCGCTTCAAGTTCGCCTCGAGAGTCCTCCGAAGAGTCCTCCGAAGAGTCTTCCAAAGAGTCTTCCAGGGGCTCCAGGAGCCGCAGCGCTGCCGAATAGCTTGCTGCCGCCGACTCGTAGCTGTCGTGGCCGGGTGCCATCGCCGGCCCGTGGACCTCGTCCCCCTGTCGTTTCAGCTCCGCGGCTTTGCCAAGGAGAAACTGAAGTTGTGGGTGCCGAGCCTCCTTCTCCTCCGAGCTTGAAGGCACCACGGTTTCAGCAGAAGTCTGCTGCAATGACTCAATTGACATGCTAGGCGCGGGCTCCTTACCCCAGGTCGGAACTGCACGCCATGCTCCGGGCATCTCAGGCGGCGTGGTGGCCAGGGACTCGCTGACATAGAGCGGATGCCCGGCAAGGCCCAGGATCCAGCCTCCCCAGTCGCCGTGGCTCTCGCGGCTCACAAGGAAGCCCTGGCTGTTCTTGTAAGCTACACAGCTTGGATACTCCGCAGCGCTTGCCAAATGATAAGTCCCATTGGCGCGGTCCCAGCCAGCGCCCTGCACGACCAGAACACTGCATGGAGGGCAGGACACGGCGCACGAAGCAGCATGCGCTGACATGTGGCGCGGGTTTGGGTCCCAGCTCCATCTACTCACTCTCTCTTCCCTTTTTTTCTTCTTGTGTTTTACTATCATGGTTTTCATTGCTAATTATTCTTGCTATGACTTGTTATTCTTACTATTATGATTAGTGTTCTTTATTTCTTGTTTTAATTACTCATTATTTAGTATTTCTATATTTTTAATATTAATATTATTGTTTGTATTTTTAGTATTGCGATTATTACTATTGTTATTATTCTTGTTATTACTATTACTATGATTATTAATCCTATTATTATTATTATGATTGTTATTTGTTGTTGTTAGTTTCATTCTTATTTATTATTATTACTATTATGATTATGATTCTGCGCCATGTGTTGCTACAATGAGCTGTTGCTACAGAACATGGGGTGAACTGCCTGCTGGTAGACAAAAAACACCACTTGCTTCGGCTTCACTAGCTTCCCAACATGGCCCGGAAGCTGCCAAAAGCCGCTCCCTCTCTCTCTCTCTCTCTCTCTCCACACGCTAGGCCCCCCAGAGGGGAGCCGCCCGACTCCCTCTCTCTCTCTCTCTCTCTCTCCCTCCCCGACTGCTCCACGAAAATGCAGCCACAAAAACACACTGAAATATGACAAATCCGACATCACAGATTTTCAGAAGACTCTCAGGGCCCTAGAGATTGCCAGCGCCCAGCAATCCTAAGCTTGGGGCTTTCGGAAGTGAGGCATAGCCGCAGGTTCAGGGTCAAGCCTACCCAAAACCTCCCCTGTGATTCCACGGTCTCCAAAAGCCTAATCCCTAACAAAGGGGGTCCCCAAAGGCCCTGAGCCCCGGGCATCTCCGGCCAAGGGCACAAAGGAAGGGTCTGCAGGGATCGCGGAGTACCGCTGCCAACTGGGCAGGTCTGGACGAGCTGAAGGCGTGTGCTGCTTTAGTTTTGGGTCTGCATTTTTTGTTTCTTTAAGGTGTGGAAGGGGCTCCGAGAGTCTCGGGCTTTAGGGAGAGGACATGGAGTCTGCTCTTCAGAGACTCGCCGGAAGACCCTCACTGCCTCTGGTCAAAAACTCCGACTCTTGCGCATGGCGCTTGGATCAATGCAGGCATACTAGACTGCACAAAGGGTCAGCTTTCGCTACACCCTCAGGTACCAAATCAGGCTCGGATGCCGCCTCTTGGCATCTGGCACCGTGCCGCGGCGATTGCAAACCAAGGAAAAAATCCTTGGATCCTATGACAATACGGCACCTCATATTTAGGATGCCTCAAAAAACGGATCATAATTTTGACAACCGCCCACTTGTCCCGGGACTACTCGGTTCCCTGGTCGACTGCTGCTGGGCCCAGGACAGATCAATGGATCGCTGCCGCAACCTGCCATGATTCAGAATGTGAGGGGCCGAGGTTCTACTCGTGATCTTCATTGTGGTCCCCTTTTGGGAAATTTCCCCAAAGTATAAAGGATATACAGATATACATAAAACTAAAACAGAGAAGCAAAATCAGCACAACGTAGAGCAACCCAATCTTGAGTGCATGGTCAGGCAGCTGGCATGCCTCCAAGGAGCAAATGCCCTCTTTCAGCTCTATGCGAGTTTACGAGGATACAAGGGACCCTTATTCTTGAACCCGCAAACCCTAAACCTTAAACCCTACACCCTAAACCCTAAACCCTAAACCCTAAACCCTAGCAGGATTATCTTTTCTAAGAACCCCAATAAGGTACGGAAACCCCCAGATGCCTCAGGGCAAGCCTGAGCCGATGCTCCTAACTCCTGCGCCTAGGTCCGATAACTGACAGGTTACATGGGTTTAGGAGTTTAGGAGTTTAGGAGTTTAGGGTTTAGGGTTTAGGGTTTAGGGTTATTCGGATTTGGGGCGCACAGGTCCCTGCCCAGCCATGAACGCAAACGCCTTGTTCACTGATGCGTGACGATGGGTTTTCAAGTCAAGTACATGGTGGTGTAGAGCAGGTAATGAATCAAAGAAACCTGAAATCCAGAAGTCAGAAGACAAGAATCTGCCCGGACGAAACCTTTTACCACAACCCTTTTGCAACAGGCCTGCCAACAATCCGCCTGGAAGCCAGCCAGCCAGCCACCCTTAAGCCTACTTAAGGTAGGTTGAACTGGAGTGATAGGTGATAGGTAAGGCATCTATAGTTCTACGTGCTTGTAAGAATTATCCTTGCGTTGAGGTGCTCCGAGCCCTACTACCTTCACCATGAAACTATGAGCCTCCTTCACCCTAAGCCCCAATCAGCTGGAGCGACTCCTCGGCCGTGGCACTGGCAGCATCAAAGTCTGGGGAATGCAGGGTCAGGCTCACCTGGGTTTAGGGTTCTCAAGTCTGGCCCCTTGCACACGACACATAAGAGGGGCCCAAAACCCCTCACCCTACATTCGGGAACCTAGAACTCAACTCAGAGGTTTTCTGTGAAGAGGGTAGGGCTTTGGCTTCAGCTCCATCCCTCAGAGACATGCACAGGGTTTCGGGTAGTTCAGTTATCTTGGTTCTTGAACAGTCGTGTTTCGTAGTACAGAAAACTTCGGAGGGTGTAGGCTGTCGAGTTTTGTGTGGGTTGCGCAGGGTTTGGGGGCACATGGCAGCGTACCCAGCCGGAACCGAACTGGACTGCGCATCCGACTTGTCCGGGAGGGACCACAACAAGGCACTTCTGAAGCTTGGCGTGTCGGAGCTAGATTAAGATGTCCTTCGTAAGGACCTGGAATTGGGCAAGCAGGAAGGCTTCGTCACGTAGTGCCGCTTTATGTAACAAATTTGGGTTGCCCACTTCCCTGGTTCCCTGCTAAAGCACCATCACCTTAGAGGACAGAGCAGGACAACCCAAGACCTTAATGGGAACTGAAAAGTGCTTTCGACCCTGAGCAGTGAATATCTTCTGCCCTCTACAACCAAGCCCTAAAATCCACATCCAATGACTTTCCTGCGGACTTCAAGAAGCCCCACTACGCTGACTTGAGCATACCGCATGGTCGTTTACGGGTACGGGCTCGTTATGGATGTCAGTTCTGGGGTTTACTTCGGCTGTGTAGAGTACATGTGATAAGCACGGTGATGATGAAGATGATGACGATGATGATGATATTTGCATATACATATACGATGCATGCTTTGGCTTATGCATTTGTATCCCAAAAACTAACAACTTTAAGACAGTGTTGAGTGAAACCACCCTCTTGGTTCCCGGGTTTGCTGAGGCCATGGACGCTGAGGCTTTGCAGCTTTTGAGCGAAGAAATACGGACCATGCTGCACCTGTGTCACGTGTGAGAGTTTTTGGGTGGGGGTGTAGGGTGATGGTTTGGGGTGGGGCGGGATGGGTGGGGGGGACAGCCCCGAACCTCAAAACATTGCACATTAAGCTGCAAATGCATTCTCTCAACAATTGGGTCAACCCTCAACGCAAGGACGTCGGCGATCCAATCCACGAACCTAGGAATCTTTCCTGTTATTATCTTTCCGTCGTTGCGTCGCTAATTTTCACAAGTTTGGGCTCTGAGTCGTTTCTGTCGCAAGAGTTTGGTCAGACCAAATGCCCTGGTGGCCCTAGTGGCCCTAGTGGCCCTAGTGGCCCTAGTGGAACTGAACACTTGACCCATTCATTGCCATACAAACACCAGGAGCCTTCACCATATGGGGGCCCTTACCCCAAGATCCACAGCTTTCGCAACCCTCGCGGGACTTGTCAGCCCACCCTTGTTTCAATGTTCGAGGGACGCAGACTCCAGAAACATCTTCCCGCAATATACTCCTTTTCTGGCACCTGCAAGGTTTCTTTTCTCAAAAAGGGTCCCTAAATCCCTCAAGGTCCAAGGTGCCTTTCTTTGAGAAACGAGCATCACACCCTTCAAGCCCAACCGGCTACAGCCCCAAAAGCAACCAGGTCCCGCAGTAAGGGAGTGAAACTAAGATCCTCTTTCTATAGAACAAGGTTCATGAAGGAACTTCTAATCCACGGAGAAGGGGAAGAATTAACTGCCGAGTGTTGGGCCCTACTAAGCTGCCGTTCAGGATTCACGGTGTGTCCGGGGGGGTTCGGTTCTGGGGGCTCAAACCACCTTCGGTGCTATCATGAGAGAAAAAGATGTGTTGTAAGCGCTCCAAAACCCCAAACCCCTCCCACCCCCGGCGCGCCGACCGCGCGAGTGACTCTGGCGGCGGGCCGCGGGATGCGTGGTGCCGCGCCTTGGAGGAAGGTGCAGCTGATTTTGGCCACCTGTAGGGCTTCGGGTCTCTGAGGTCTGCTGGTCCAGTAAAGCTGAAGGCCTTCTGAAACCTGCGAAGCAAGTTGCACACGCTAGAGCAAACGCAGCACAAACGCAACTGCATCCGAACAGCTGCATGCTTTTGTTCCGCTCTCTAGTTTGCGCAGTGCAAGGGTTTTTGGTTCAGGTTTGAATTGCAAACTTGGCCCCCACTTTACTCATGGGTAACGTTCGTGTTTCTGGTTAGGTTGTGTCGGGACTATAGGATGCAGATTGGAATCCTGGGCTTAACGGCTCAACGCACATCATCTCATGCCCGGTTTGCACATGGGCAAAGAAACACATTGCGGCTGTGTCCGCGGATCTTTTCCCCAAACCCATCTGAAATGCCGAGCATGGCCGCAGCTGATTCATCTAGGCAGGCACAGGCTAGAGATATGCCGGTGTCTTGAACTAACAGCAAAGTCTGGATTTGGCTTCTTACACACAGCGGGCTGCTTGACTGCATACGAGACTCTAAAGGTATGCCTGGCTCACGACGGTCGAAAACCATTCCACAGCAAACTGCAAGCAAAGCACATATTCCGCAACCATGCTCGGTTGCGTTGCCAGCACCTGCGATGAGCCGGTGTTTCGACAACATGCATCAGTACAACTTAACAGCCAGATGGCCAGAATCCCTTCGACCTCCAGCAGCTACGATGACAAGCAGTACGTTTGACCTGCGTGCTACTTCGACTCTGCAGGGTAGCTCGAGAGTAGGTGCAACTTCCGTACTCCAACACTGCCTTCTGCACTGATACCACTGCACTGGGCCTCACGATGCACTGAATCTTGCAACTTGCTATGACGCGCGAAGGTGCCCGCAAACGACATGTGCGATCATCATGATTTGGCAGAAATCCCGTCAAACGAGGTGCTCCTGAGCCTGTTTGTGCTTTGAGGCTTTGTCTGGATCAGAAACCCATCCTTGCATCTGAATATCCCGACCCTTGAATCCCCAGCATACTAAAAACATACACTACCCGCCCCACACGCCCTCTGATGTTCCGCGCCTCTGCAAAGGTGGATGGCAACTCCACCAGATCCAGCCTAAGTGCATGCTCCAGAGCTTCAAAATCTTCAGGGCTTTTTGGCATACTTTGGGGGGCTGCGCGTTTAGGGTCTGGGTTTAGGGAATTTCTGCACACAGCTCCTTACTCTGTCCTTTTGTGGGTCCTCTACACATAATAGGCCAGATTTGAGCAGGAACCTGCATGAGGACCGAAAGCCTATCCGGACTCGGGGCATCACGATGCGTCCTTCTCCACAGGGACACTCAGAGGCCCCCCAAGTCCCCAAGTTCGCGGTTCAGGCTTTAGGGTTCAAAGGGTTCGTTAGTCATCCCTGAATTACCGAACCAAACCTAACCTCTACACCCTGAACCCTCCTAGCAATTCCGGCACTTGATTGGGAGCCTGGCGGGAAGCCGCGGAATTGAAGGCATGAGGCCCGGGTGCAGAGCATGTGCACCTCAGCCAGGTTCGAAGTCCTCGTAGTCTCCCCAACTTAGGTTGCTAAACCTCGGTAGGGCTGTTGGAATGCATTCTACTTTTGATGTTTATCTCAGCTTTTTTGAGGTGGGGGAATTGCATACTCATGATTTCAATATTAGGCTGGGGGTGGTATGACTGGTATCCCGAAACCCTAAACCCTAAACCATATTCTTCACACCCCCAAACGGCATTCGAACCGTCTGGGCTCCCAGGCCGCATGCCCCAGCTCATGTGCCTTGGCTGCACAGGATTGATTTTAGGGTTTAGGGTTTAGGGTTTAGGGTTTAGGGTTTAGGGTTTAGGGTTTAGGGTTTAGGGTTTAGGGTTTAGGGTTTAGGGTTGAAACTGGGCTGAGAAGTTAACCGTAGGACCTTCTTGGAGGGCATAGAACTTACAAGTAGGTAGGACCTTCTTGGAGGGTATAAGTACGTAGGGTTTTCAGCTACTGGCCGGTCCCACAGAGGGCGCGCCACGACCCTCTTCTTTCGGAAGTCTACTGCAGCAAGGTGGCAGCTGTTATGGCATCTTCCGGCATGAGTAACCTGGGCCGAGGGCCTAAGAGCTCTGAGCAGGCCGATAGCATTGGAGGTGCAAAGGCCGCCTTATAACTTAAATACGTAGGGCTTCTCAAGTGCCCCGAAAAGCGACTCCCACCAGTTCTAACTGCCGTTCCTGATACGAATTCTCTGACCCCCCGCCCGAACCCAGGCTCTGCTGGGGCCTTGGCACCTGGGGGCCTTGGCACCTGGGGGCCTTGGCACCTGGGGGCCTTGGGGCCTTGGGCTTAGGTGAAGGGGTTTCCGGGGGCAGTGGGGGCAAAGCGTACGATAGAAGCCACCCCCTAAGTTTGAATATTTTCCGGGCAGACCGAATCTGACACTTGGGGAGGGCGGGGGCGGGGGGGCAGTATGAGGGGGAGCTGATTGCTGCTCGCCCAAAGCTCGGAGAAAGAAGCAGTCGCACGCTGCATCCTGTTGGGGAGAGAACCCTGGGATGGGTCTTGAGGCCGACCTGACATACTCATGACATAGGAGGAATCTGCATCGATGTTTTCAAAAAAACCATACAGGTTCACTACGCTGCAATGAAAGTTCGACTGCTTGCCAACCTGGCTCCCGAGAGCACTAAAACCCTGAACCCTTAACCTCCCGTGGGCCGGCCCCAAACCCTACACCTACTAACCCTACTAAACCCTAAACCCTAGACCCTACTAAACCCCAAGCTGCAAGCCCAGGTGCTTTGTCTTGCCAAAGGAAGGCGCCTGGAAGTGGAGGCCTGCTTCTTAAGACCCTTCGGAACCAGGGGGGTTTCAAGGGCTTCGGACTTATGGTTTGCGGGATTTTGCTAGAGTTTAAAGTTTAAAGGTTTTCTTGCCACCTGCCTATGACCTGGTCCGCACGCACTGGGTTTGGGGTTTGGAGCTTGGGGGGTCGTTTGGAGGACATGATTCATAAGGAACTGACAGGGAGTCCCTCTGGCAAGCGAGGATCGCCCGAGTTCTTTGCAAGGAGTTGTTTGTTAAAGACTGGCCGATCCGAGCAACATGAGTTTGTGTAGCTTACACAGCCGCTGAGGAAACAGTGCTTTCCGAAGTTCCGCCACCTGGACCCATATTGTTTCGCCAGCCACGCTCCGAAATAGAAGCCCGAGGTAGGGCTTGGCGTCAGGGCGCTATGTAGAAAAGGGCGAGTAAGGGGTTGTAAATTGCAAGGGAGCTCTTCCCCCCAGCCTACGTAGACATGGCCCGGTGCCAGGTGCATGCAATGTGGCGCCAGCGGTCGGGACCTTGAAGTGCAGGCTTTTTGGGGATTCCAAGCTTTAGGGGCGTTTGCTTTGAGGTCTCCCTCAAGGCGTTGGGGCCCAAACCCCTGGAGCCTTTAAGGTCTTAACACAACCTTCGTCGAGGAGAGGCGGCAGTGCAAATGCTCGCAGTTACATCTGGAACTACTGTTGTGGTTACAAGGCCTTATTCCTGGAACCCCAAACCCTTTTGCAACTGGCCTGCAACGACCCAGCCAGGGAAGATGCTCAGTGGTTTAACTCGGTGAGCGGCGACTTGTGCACTCAGGCCAAGCATCCGGGACTATCGCACAGGTCAAGTATGCATGGTGCACTTCAATTCGACTCACGATGTTCACAAAAATTGCAGCTGACAAACATGCAACCTCAGCTACCAATTTGACGGGTTTTTTCTCTGCTGACGTTCTCGTCCTCGCTCGTCAATTATATCTTCGCCTCAGTCTTGTTTCTGACTGTCCACAATCCGTCTTTGACGGCGGAGAGGGAATTACGTTGCTTTTTGTGTGGTCGTGTGGAGAAGAGCCTTGCTCAGAAGTTCTGCCGTGGAGCCCTGATATTGCTTGCGTGCCCTCCGATAAGCATAAGCGACGCGCGAGATGAGCTTGCGACCCATGGCACGAGCGACGACAGAAAGGATTGAATCGCGACGGCATAGCCAACCCTAAACCCTAAACCCTAAACCCTAAACCCTCCCTTACAAATTCAGGCTGTCGGGTCCCGGGAGCCGCGCCCAAACTTCGGGACGAAGAGCTCGACCTTTGTGTCTTCGGGTTTCCCGAGATTTAGTATTACGGGTCTGTTTGGCTAGAATGATAGCTTAGAATATATTGGTAGGATCCTGCGTGAAGGCATTTGACGGGTTTGGGGGGTTTGGCGACTATGATGCGCCTGCATGCTCAAGCTCTTTAGGGGTGAGAGAGGTCATTGCCCACGTGGCCCCACTCGTCGCCAGGCGCAGCGGGCGGGGGAGGAGTGGGGTGGCTCAGGGGCTTGGAGGTTCGCGGGTAGACATAAGCAAGTACCCTGCAATGCATATGGCAACAGGCCTAAACCCTTGCACTTCCTAGCGTGCCTGGCTGGCTTCGAGTGCCTCTTCTGATGGTTGGCGTGGTTTGACCACCAAAAGGACCCCGCAGCTTCGGGCATTTCAGACTTTGGGAAACCCTTGGACTCCGGCATAGGCAAAGCCCAGCCGCTGGCCAGAGGAACCCGCAGCCGCTCCGATGGGCGGCCTCAAATCACGTTTTTGTGTTGTTGCATATATTTTCTGTTTGTTTGTTTTCAATCAATACATATATATATATACATATATATGTATATGTATCTGCATATTCCGAATTACCGAAGTACATGTTACGCAGCACGTATTGCTGATACAAAATCATATGAAAAATCCATCATGTACTATCTGAGAAATAATACATCTTACATGCACATATTACATGTTCTATATATACGCATACATATACTTATGGGTACACGCCTATCCCCCCCCCCTACCTTTTCTGTCTTTTGCACTTTGTCTGCGCTCGATGTTTTTCATTATGTGTGCCAATGCACCAATAAAATAATGCACCAACGTACCACTGTCCAAACCATTTCGGCTCATGGTTGGGACAAGACCCCCAACCGCACCAACGCACCAACGTCCCAATCATTTGGGCCCATGATTGGGACAAGAACCCAACCGCACCAACGTACCAACGTCCCAATCATTTCGGCCCATGATTGGGACATAGCATGAACCAATGAAGAACCGATGTACCAATGTACCAATGTACCAATGTACCAATGTACCAATCATTTCGGCCCATGATTGGTACACAAGATGAACCAATGTACCAATGTACCAATGTACCCGTGTACCAATGTACCAATGTACCAATGTACCAATGTACCAATGTACCAATGTACCAATGTACCAATGTACCAATCATTTCGGCCCATGATTGGTACACAAGATGAACCAATGTACCAATGTACCAATGTACCAATGTACCAATGTACCAATGTACCAATGTACCAATGTACCAATCATTTCGGCCCATGATTGGTACATAGGATGTTTGTACCAATCATGGGCCGAAATCATTGGTACATTGGTACATTGGGTCATAGGTCGTCCTTTGTACCAACCATGGGCCGAAAACATTGGTACATTGGTACATTGGTACATTGGTACATTGGTTCTTTGGTTCGTTGCTGCATTGGCACTGGCAGTACACCCTCAACCCTCTGTGTATGTATGTAGGGTGTATGTGTTGTATGAAAAGGTGGAACTTCTACCCACATAGTGTAGGTATATTAGTGTATTACATGTAGGCCCCACGGAAACGAGAACCAAGTCCTAAACCCTATCCGTCCCCCTGCCCAGGTAGCACAAAGTCAACACCAACTTCATCGTTTTATATTTTTTGTTGGGAAGCGGTGTTTATAAACAGGGTCGGTGTTTATAAACAGGTGCTTTATGTATTATTTTCTTATTATTGTATATTCAATACTCATTAGATCTTTTCTTTTGATCAACACCACATACGCCCCAGGTGGTCCCAGGAAATAGTGAAAAGATATTTGCTCACAGAATTCTCGCATCCCCGGGGCTTCTAGTCAAAGATATTTCGCATCACCCTATGCACCCGAATACTTCCTAGTCTTATGGCTCGAGGCTTACCATCCTTCCTTCTCCATTATCTGTATTTGATATCTATATACATACATGATGTGGGTACAAATTTTTCGTTTGCATTTCCACAGGAGGCAAGCCCTACGCTGTACAAACATAGGCATAACCCTGTGGGAATTAAGCTTTAGGGGCTGACGCCTCAAGCCCTCTAAGCCTTAAACCTTTAAGGTTCAAACTCTATAGGCAGGGTTCAACCCCATGTCAGGGCTTTAGAGATTTTTTTTATCACGGACCTCTGAAGCCTGTCCGGATCCCTTCCAACCGACTCCCCAAACTCTCAAACTCCTCACCCGTTCCTCCCAGCACAGACCTGCTCACTGCTGTTGCTGCTGCAACTGCCGTTGCGGCTGCGGCAATGCAGCTCACTGAAACCCAGCAAGTATCTAGGTACATGTGAGCAGCCTCGCCAGAGTTAAGGATCAGAATAAGAGTCGCTCTGCACAAAGGGGAGTTGGAGAGAGCAAAAGTGTGAGAACAACGGATGTCTATGCAGCCTCCTAGTTCAGAGACCGTCTCAAAAGCACACTAAAGGCGCTGAAGATATTGCCGGAGCATTTGATAAAATTTGAGTGCAATTTTCGCTCTCATGAGGTGCTAACAGCAAATCGTTCACGAAGTGCACGTTCTCGCTGATGCCTTGCCACCAACTTTCGCTCTCTTCGTTCTCTTCGTCTCTTATCGTCATCGTTCTCATGGCTAGTCCACTGCTCGTGCTCATCCAACCTCCCATCTTCAGGCCGGCCCGGGTCCAAGTTGTTCATGTCCAGGTCAGAACTGTTGCAGTTGGGAGACAATGGTGAGGAAAAAGTCGCCCGCTCTTCGTTGCATCTTGGCGGCTCTTTGTTGTATGTAGCATCACTGACAGTTGCCACTACTGTTGCAGAACCACCCTGCATTGATCCCTTGAGCTGCTGTATCTCTGTCTGCAACCTGAGGACGACACCATCGTAGCGTTCCGCCAGAGACCGTGTTTGTTGGTGTTGTTCTTCCATTCGTTGCAAAGCCTGACTCATGAGCATCTGGCATTCCGTCTCCGGGATCACATTAACGCTGGTCTGTGTAGCAGCATCAATGTGTTGCACCTTGCTCTGGGCCGTAGCATCCTGGGTCTGAATGTCGAGGGCCTGGCTCAGAGACATAGTCCTCCTTGCCCTGTCTGGCTGTTGGTTTGCTGTACCGTGGATGTTCATAGCTGTTGTGGGACTTGGCGCGGGGAGCTCACCCCCAAAAGAAGCATACGGGGTCTCTGACTCATCCGCGCCCACAAGCTCCTGCAATGCCCGCTTCAACAGAGACATGACCATCGGTTTCTGATGCCGCCTGGAACATCTCACTGCAAAGGCAACGCAGGATATGAGTCTCCTCTCAGAAGCATCAACCACCATTTGGCAAGGAGCGAAGAATTACGAATTTGGCTACCCAGAGGGTCTCGTAGCAGAAATGGCTGTAGCCATAAACCCTGAAAAACCCTAAGCCTTTAAACCCTAGAGGGTTTGAAGGTTTAAATGCCTAAGCCTGAGGCTTAAATTCCGAAACTTTATATGAATTTAAACCTAAGAGTCTGGGCATTTATACCTTCAGCGCCTATAGGCCTTTAGTCGCTCACTCTCGCACAAGGCAGGCAAGGTCCGTGGGTCCGTTCGTCAAACTGTACTACCCCTCTATATCATGTCAAGCTCAGACCAAGTGATCAGTCGGGCCCCAAGAAATGGCTCGCAGAAGATAAGAAAAACATATAAGCCTCGACGACCACATCGGTATGACTTCACACTGTGAAACCAATCATGCGAGGGACATTCCTGTATTACCTGCATTGAACAAGACAAACCTGGGAGAGCTAAAACCCCCCCCAACCACGTCGACAAGGACAAACCACAGGAAGCCTTTAGGGTTTAAACCTTTGAACCTTTTAGAGCCCTATAGGGTTTAAACCTTTGAACTTGTAGAGCCCTATAGGGCTTTGTACGTAGGACCTTTAGGGTCTATGTGAATATTCTCTGGGGGGGGGGGGGGGGGGGTATAGTATTAATAATATGCATAATCTTTATTATTCCAATATTAAGACTATTAATAATATTGGGAGTATTAGTAGTATTAATATAGTACTAATAGTATTAATAATATTACTAGTATTTAAAATATTAACTCCATTAATAGTATTGGTAGTATGAATATAGTATTCAAAGTATTCAAAATAATAGTATTTATACAAATCATACTATTAATATTATTAATGCTATCAATATTATCAAGAGTATAAATAATATGAATAGTATTAATAGCATTAATACTATGATTAATAGTAATCGTATTAACAGTATCTCTTATATATATATACATATATATATAATATTAATAGTATTAATACTATTAATGCGATTAATAATATGAATAAACGGTGTGATGAATAATGGCGGGCGAACCACCCGGTCTCTCCGTCTGCTCTCTCCACTTGTAGGTCAGTGCTGGCGCTACAGTAGAGGACGTGGGGAACACGACTTACCGCTCCAACACCAGTAAGTACCCTCTTGCGTGGCGAAACTACTTTCTCAAGCGATCCTATTCAGAAATGAAAACCAAAATAACTGCATAGGCCTGTAATGCAAATTCATCTTCTGTGTATTTTCATACACATCATGCATATTATATATATATATATATGGGAGTTTACAAAAATAGGCGACCACGAATATAGACCCCAAATGGTAAGATCCCCGAACATAAAGGACCCCATTAGGGTACCTCTAGTATCGTAAACCTCCATATAGGAAGACGCTGATGAACAACCCTGGGCCCCGGGCGCATCAACCACCTCGAAGCTTCGCATCCCGGAGTGCCACCTGAACTTAGGAGCTTCGGGAGCTGTGGGAAAACTTAAATGGCTTTAGGGGCGCTTAGTGGCTTAGCGTTGGCCTTTTTTAGGTCTTGCTTTTCGTCACCTGCCTAGCTGGCGTAGGGGCGCACTGCGAGGCAGCACAAAGACAAGTTACGCGAATCCCAAATGTGGGTCGGAAAATGTTGCTCGGGGCAGACGTGCTCTGGCATCTTGACTTTCAATTCGCGGCGCGAGGGATTGAAATTGTTCGAACCTGCACACCAACCTTGATGCGATAGGAAAACTGCTGAGACGTTTTTTGACGTCTCGTGCTTCAAGTTAACCAGGCTTTTGTATTCGAGCTTCTGTGTTTTTGCTTTTTGCCGCCCGGCTGACTGGGTCCAGGGGACAATGTCTTACATCACAGACCAGGCAAAGTGCCCTCACCATGTGAAAGCGTTTTAGGGTTTGGGAGTCTGTCATGCTTCCGCCTAGCCTGCACTGCTACTTTTGCGGGTCAAGTAGAGGCTTCAGGAACATTGAACTGAAATCAGTCGTACACATCCTGGGCTCTTGTTAAGATTCTAATGTCAACATAAGGCTACATAATGGTAAGCTGGTATCTTAAGCTCCTGTACAAGAACCCAGCATCAGGCATCGGTTCTTGGGGTCTTGGGGCTGGGGACTTTGGGGGGTCTTGGGGTTCAGGGACCAAGGGCTCTGGGAAGCTTGGGGCTTTTGGCGACTTGAGGGCTTTGACTACTTGCGTGCGGCAAGTTCGGAAGCCTGAGACCCAGGTTTTAGGGGCCGTTGAGGGTTGAAGCCCAGGGCCGGGGTGAAGGAGCCTAGTTGCATAGCACACGGCGAACGCGAGAGTGGGTTGGGTCTTGCGATGAGCTGTAACACCCATCAAACTACAGGAATAAGGGGAAGGAGCTCCGACGTGTGCGAGGTTGCATCTATTTTGCCTCGGCTTACCGTGCCATGCTCTTCATGAGCGCGATGCTCCGGACCTATGCGGTGGGAGTCTTACGGACTTTTGTTGCGAAACATCCTCCTCCTTCTGCCATTGTCGTCCCACAAACTTCTCTGAGACTCTAAAAACATCTGAAACAACTATTCTTACCCGTGCGCGCCTCACCCCCGCTTGAATCAAGGCGCCGCCCTTAACCACCAACCCTAAACCTCAAACTATGATACAAGCGCTATCCCCTGCACTTTGGCAGCGGTGGCGACCACTTCGTCCGTCCGAGCCGCCCTGGGTGCTGTGTTCGTCTCGTTTCAGTTATGCTGGTGCCCAAGGGCTATTGGGGAAGAACACGAAAACAGAAAGAAAGTGTCTCAAACCACTTGACAAGACGATCTTGAAAACGTCTTTGGACTTTGCTACCTGCTTGGGGGGAACTTTCAGTCTTGATCCTTGCTCTTTGCAAAGGGTAGGCCCGGGTAAGCCCTCCCGGCTCACACATCTCCGAAGCAGAAGATCAAGGCCACAAAGGCCATGAGATCACCAAAACATACTGAACATCATGTACTATCATAATCATATACTTATACAGATAATATACATATATATATATGTATATTTCCGGTAGCAACCAAAGCAGCCATGGGCAGTTCTAAGTAGGTCTAAAAAATTAACAACCACATAACTTCCCACGCCACCCCACAAAGGCAATCTTGCTCCATTCCACACCCCCAGCCGAAGCAACCCTCAACTCTAAACCCTGTTTGGGGTTCATGGGACTTATTCACCAAATTCTAGCTGTACTTACAACCGACTTTTAAGCCCCTTAAGTGCCCTAATAAGTAGAGTCATAAGTACAGTTATAATTGGATAATAAGTACGCTACTGAACCTCCAAGTGCACCCCCCAGTGCCCCCCAAGCCCCCGCGCGCAGGCGCCGCCGCGGCGCAGAGAGGCAGTTGGCAGTCGGGCGCCGTCGTCGGGGGAAGGCCGTCCTGCAATGAGGGCTCTTTTTTTAGCAGCCCTGTGCACCTTTTCTAGTGCAGACCACTGGCCAGGGTAGCAAAACTTTCCGGGAGGACTGCCGAGCCTCCTCGGCAACAAGGGTTTAGGCTTTAGGGTTTCTGCAAGCACTCTCTCTGCAGCAGCAGGCTTCAACCAGCCAAGCAACTCCCACCCCTGCATCAAAGGGCAACCTCAGGCCGCCCAAACCACTCCAGGAGCGAGATCGCAGGGTTTAGGGTTTCTGCAGCACCATCTCCAAAGGGCTTAGGGTTTTTTTGGCACCCGCATAACTGAACGAACCACTCCGCAGGGATTCCAAGTCAGTGTGACGATGCGAAACTGCGATTGAAAAATGGTTGTCATGGCTAGGGTTTAGGGTTGAGGGTTTGCAGTATGCAGCTAGTGAAGGTGACAAGTCGGGAAATGCACGGAAGAGATCAACTACGAGATCACATGCTACCAGGAAGCTCAGCAACCCATACGTGCACATCATCGTGCGCTTCAACCCCAGTCAAGGCTTGTAGCAGGTCGTAAGTCTTAGGGTCTAAACCCGAAGCTCCAAAGCTTGAGAACCTGGCTTCAGGTGCCCTAAGCCCCAAACCCTCGTTTTGAGAGGCGGGCCTCGACTTTCGCACAACACAAGGAAGCATGGTTGATAAAAGTGGCTAGTATGCTGGGGGTTTCCGGCGTGGTCGCAGTCTTAAGCTACGCCTACTGACGCTTGCATTCATATGCTGCCTCTGCAGAATTGCATGATGCTTTGCTGTGCTTATTGGATCTCAAGAGTCTTGTACTGTTGAGACTGAAGAGTTGAGAAAGCTATGATGGTCAGAACTGAGCATTTCTGTTATAGTGCTCCTTGGTCATTGTTTTTTACAGGTATTTTGTTATTAAGGTTCTACGGGGAGTGTAGGTACACCCTATAAAGCCTCTAAACCCCATAAACCCTATAAACCCCTTTAGACTATAAACCCCAAACCCTAAAGCCTAAACCCCAAACCCCTGATGATTGCAATTTTCTTTCTGATGATTAATATGCATGATTAATATGCATTATTCTTGGAGCGGTCCAGGACGGTGGTCCGAACTTCTTCACGGCATACGAGTCCTGCAACGATGCTTTGTGGATCTGTAAGCAAAAACAATCTGCTAGATCTTAGCCACTTCGGAATGCCGTGGAACGCCGTGGGGTGCCTCCGGTTGCTAGTTTGAGGCCCGTGTGTTGTTTAGGGTTGTTGTCGGGGCTGGGGGACTGAGATCCTCCTAGAAGACTTTCAGCCCCCAGCGGTCCCACTCTCGAGAAACAAGGCGGTAGAGGAGCATTGCGGCCCTGGCTGTCAGATTGGCCGTCACACTTTGGAGTCGGGATGGCAGGTTCTTTTTTTCTGAGAAATACTCCACATACCCCCCATGCGGCATACCCTTACAGGACATCGAGGGGCATGCCATTCTCACGCTCTCGCGTCAAGGACCCATGTAAGGTTAAGGTATGGGTTTGGGGTATGACTGATTCTTGGACTGTTGGGATACTGTTGGGGGGTGTAGGGTTCAGTGCAGGGGCTCGCAGGGCTTCGGTTCCATCGCTCTGGGACAAGCCCACGGACACCGCTTTGTAGGAGCCCTCGGATCTCCGGCATTGCAATCAGGGCGCTCCCAGCTCGTAAGAAGTCGAGCGGGTTGTACTCGAAGAAATCAGGCCGTAGGTTTAAGGGCTTACACAGGGCTTGTTCAATCAAGTCAAGAGGATTCGCTTCCTCTGTGACAGCCGAACCTTAGAAATTTGGGCCTGGGGTTTGGCGCAAACGTTTCGGAGGGTCTGCGCAAACATCCCAACTTACATCGCTCTGCTTGTGTTGACGAGTGTGTCTCTGTACTTTCTGCACCAAAGTAGAGACCAACGACTTCATAGCAAACTATGTGAGCTGCCCAGGCCAGCTCATCCTGTGCAGCTCCTAGCTGGTAACATCCCGCAAACAACAGGAACGCCAAGCAACCAAGTGAAAAACCCACAGCACTACTCGCCCCAGCGACCCCAAGGCATCAACATCGCTCTTCGGGAGTCAGAGTTGGGGGTTGGTTTCGGGTTTGAGGTTGAAGCTCAGAACCAGCCGCGCCTAGCATCTTCAACAGAGGAGTGCGCCCCCTTGTGAAGCTGCTCGTCCTGCCGAATCTGCAGAATATGGGCTCCACAGCACTCTGAGCCATGCACGCAACCCCTTGACCCACACAGCTGGCGTGAAACGTGAGGCCTCTTACTGGCCTGAAACCCCTCAACTCCAAAATTCTACAGCAAGCACAACAGGCTCGCGCGCTCCAGCACCTGGAGGCAGCTTCATTTAGGACACCAGCCCTTGCCAACGAAAGGGGTTCCTCCAACACAAGCCCTGGCACGACTCGCTTCTTGGATGCATAGCTTCGGCCCGGGGTGTGAAAGCTGAACCGTAGGCCCAGGGGAGTGCATAAACCCTCCCAAAAAATCATGAATGATCCCGGAGTTCCGACACGAGGACGCTGAAGCCCGACGACCCTAAAGCCCCAAAGCCTCAAGCCACCCTGCGGCGAGCGCACGCAGCGAGGGAAGTCCTATCCATGGAGTCCGAGCAGGTCCCGTGAGCTTACCGATCTAGGCATAGCCTTGTAGAGCTTCCAGGGCTCTGCGTGCTAACTGGAGTGTGTACGTGTGGAAGCACCGCATTTGCGACAAATCTTGGACCGTCCAATGGACTCATTGGGGGTTAGAATGTATGCATGTTCCGACCGCTCGTTTTGGGGGGCACTCTTACGCCAATTCTAGTTAGAACTGCCCACGAACCAGCAAGTAAGCCCCCCCTGCCTAAGAATCGAAGAAGCCTCCCTTTTCCCGCAAGCTGTCCAGGTCCTAAACCGTCGTTCACAGCGGGACTGTGAGCACTGTGAGCCACGCCGCGAAATTTCCCTGAACCGCTGCCAGCCCCCTCCTCCCGAAAAGCGCTTCGCGTCGAGGCCCAGCGCAAGGAGCGGGTAGAAGGCCGTGTCTCGCAGCAGGTTGCCTGGGTTGAGGGCATTTTTGTTGTTTCAAGCTGGCTTTTTTTTTTTGCTCACTGACGTGTCGGACACAGGGTATAGGGGGGTTTAAGGGGGTTTAAAAGTTTAGGGGGTTCAAGTTTTATGTTTCGGGGCTTGGAGTTCAGGGCCCAGCGCCTACACTTGCAATGAATTAAGATCAAAGCTGCAGCCATTCTCAGCTTGGATCGTGGACAGGGGCTTGGGCTGTCAGTTTTTGGTTAAGGAGCTTCTTGCAGGCGTCAGGGTCCATTGTTGCTTTTTGAAGCCAAGTCTTTCAAACCTCTCTGCCCTGGCAGGATAGCTGCTGGACCAGGGATTCTGCAGGAGAGTGTCGGGAGATGGTGGGCTGGCGAGACCCATAGGTAGAGAGCAAGTTGCGGCACTGGGTGCGCCCCAGCAGTTTGAAGTCACGTCGCAGGTCCTTGGCAGCTTTCCATGGTAGCCAAGACGGTCAAAAACTATGAGCAATTACCTGCCTGGACAGGGGGCCACATCTGTGGTGACCCTCTTTGCTTGAGACCTACTTACAGCTAGGTTCGCTTTCTTTGCGCCTTCGGGAAGACGTGCGAAGAAGCCCACACCCAAACCCGGAAAGCACACACGCGAACCATTCAAGGTGAAATCCAAAGCCGGAACAGCCCCAAGACCCAAACCCAAACCGGGAAAGAGCAACATAGCGAAAGGAATCATACACAGCGCTCTCTGGAGTGCACGTCAGGGTCATTTCTTCAAAGTCTTCAAGCCCCGAAGCTTTCATGCCGAAACCTTCAGAAGCCCCTACAATCGAGGGGCCCTCTGCATGAGCGCCCGTTCCATGACGGCGCCGGATGACAATCCTACAAACTCCAACAGGAGCCTTCAAACCGAGCCGCGTGGCCCACGACCACCACATGATCCAGCAAAGCGTTGGCCTCCGGGATCGATGGATATAGGGTATAGGGGGCAAGGGCTTAGGTTGGTTTAGGCTGCGGTTCTCGACAGCGAGGCGGGTTTTTAGCCGCGTGCACAGCCTGTAGCAGAGCCTTCTTCCCTGCCTCATGGGCCGCGGGAAGCCGCGGCGAAACCCTGTACCCATCTGGTTAAGGCGTGAACCAACTGAATATTATCCACCACAAGCGTTGCAACTCCGAAGATCGAAGCTCTAAGTCCCGAAGACAAGGACCTACGTAATTCGAATGTGTAATTTGGGTGGTCTAGAGAATTATTTGGGCTGTGCATTATAGAAGCTGACGCTGCTTCGTCTTGGCATGTCCAAGACTGCCTTTGCCACCGCTATGGCCGTGGGCAGCACGACTCTGGGCCTGGGATGTAACAGGAGATCCCGAAACGTCAAGGTCGCATAAAGCACTACGAGTATCTGCGGCATCGGTGTTGTGTTGACTGGAAAGTGAGGAAGCCCTTTCTTTCGTCTTACAGAGACGGCGGATATCGGCGGATCACGGTTCTTCATGCTGGGGGCCGGGGGAAACCCTGAAAACCCCTTCTCTCCCACCCCTAAGCCCCAGAACCCTGAAGCCCTTTGTGCATACTGCACAAAAGGGCGAAAGATGCTGATGCATGCGAGAGCCAAGTCACTTTGTGGGTGGTTGGGGCAGGCATCCGATTTGGGTTGTTAGCTCTTGCACAACTCGGACTCTGACTTGCTAGGTCAGGGTGTAACGGGGTCTGGGGCCCGGTGTAGTCTCTTTTCGGCGAGTTCACTGTAGGGCTTTTAGGGGTGTTGGCATACAAGGCATTCAGGCTTGTGCGTTGAGGCTCAGAGTTGGCCTTACCCATCGTTAACACACGCGACGGCTCTTGTCACTAGTTGGCTTTTGAGTTCTGAGATCATACGGCTTGGTTCAGTCACTTGCGTAGGGTGCCATCCCTCTCAAGACAAAAAGCCGTTGAGTTAGGCCTCAGTTCAGCCCCCAACACAGCGATGGTCTCCTTCGGGCACAATCGACCCCCGAACTCCCCTCGATTAAGCCACTACTCTGCATGAGGGCCGCACCTAAGACATGAGGCTTACGCGGGAGATCTGGCTACCAAGCATGTTAAAAAGCCGCCAGAGGGCAGGTCCGGCAGCAGCTTCGCTGTCCTGGCTGGGATGTCTCGAAGGACAAAAAGGAGGAAGAAAGGTAGACTTCCCCTGGTTTTTAGTAGGGAATGAGGGAATGAGGGCCCCGTATATACCCTTTAAGTGATTACAACGTCATTCCTCCCATTCCTAAGAACCAGCCAGTATTGAGACCCTTGCCGTCCTAATATGGGTCCCCATGTGATCCACGTTCGCTCTTGGGCATGACACGTCCAGCCGACACGGGGGTGTACGAAGGTAAGGGGCCCCTAACATGAACCCCCGAAGCCGATTCATGTGGGTTTACGGCTCAGGGCTTCGAATCTTCTTGCTGGTCTGAAGTGATGTCTGGTTCAGGATCTGGATCCTAAAGCGCTAAACAGGGTTACGGGTTTCGGTTTAGGGCTCATAGGACCTTTAGGGTTCCCGGAAGCCCCAAGCAAGTGGGCGAGGGGCGGCTCCACACCGGCGCAGGTGGCTTCGAAGGTCGCGGCATCGACGCCCGTATACCTTGAGGGGCTGACGGGCTCGGGAATCTCAGATTCAGGATGCCGGCTTTGGATGGTCTTGGTTTCATCCTGACGTCTTAAACTAGTAGGACTACGTACTATTGCACTGCGACATTCGCCATGGTGGCGGGCCTAGGATTTGGGTTGTATGTCTTTTCGGCATGTGGGGCCCCTGACACGGCACAGGAGCTCATACCTGCTTGCAAGCCAGCCGCTGCGTACGCCAGTCCGTGACCTGTCGTCGAAGGAAGCTTCAAGGCTGGGAGGGTGTTTCGGCATACCCAGAAACCCCATTAATTGTCAGATTAAGGAACAAACCTGACATGTACACGAAGCAACAAGCATGATATGTGGCAAAGCAGAGACCACAATAGTACGTTCACCCAGCTTTGCAAGGCGTTGAGGTTCAGGAATGCTGGAGATTGCTTGGAGCTGGTAGGAAGCCCCTGAAATCTGCAAGCTGAACATTTGGAACTTCAAGCACGCGCCGCCAACAAACTTCTCAACTTGACGACCCCAAACTGAGAATATACAAATATGACTAAACCCTAGGCCCTTCTCCCTTTGAGCAGCTTTGGCCAGGGAGCACAAACATTTGAGCAGATGGCTTTGATGTTTGTCTCCAAGTATTGTTGGTGCCCCAAAGCTTTGGTCAGGGATTCAGGTACTGCAGCACGTGGATCCGCCTGCTCTTCTGGCTGCGTGAGGCAGTCGAAGAGGACCTCGCACATTTTCCGGCATTTGCCCCGTGGTTGGGTGCTTGAGGTCATCTGTCGTGGGCTCCGTCGGTTCACCAGTTCGCACACTGCAGGAGCACATTGACAGAGCTGCACACAAGATCTTGAACACGAACACACGGGCGTTCACATGAACAGAGCAGCAAGCATGTCCCAGCACAGCATGCCCTGATCCTCAAGCCAAAATCTCCCCAGGCTTGCTCCGACACAAAGCTCTCTGGGCTTGGGATCCCTGCTACGACGGCACAAGCCTTCAAGCTCCAAACCAGAAAAACCCTCAAGACCTACATATACCCAACCAATTCGCCGGGGCGCGCGGCCGTGCCGGCTGACCACGGAGATCCGAATCAGCACAGACCTCCTGCTCTCATGGGTCGTGGGGTGGGGTAGGATCGGGGCGTGGGGTTGTGGGGGGTGGGGGTGTGGGGGAGGGATTCGCCCTCTTCAGGGCACCAATGACTGATCCTTCCCCTTTAACAAAGAAGAGTGTATGCATCAGGGGGCATCATGACACCGAGTTGCTAAACAAAGTTTGTGGCGGCTTAAGGGTCCAGGTGCTGCAAAGAACAGATTTTTGAGGCTGGCTGTACATTAATGATAACCGTTTTCATGAGACCAACAAAGAGTAAGAAATGTAGTCAGAACCAGCCGTCGTAGTGTTCGGAATCCCTCGGGGAGTGAAATGGGGCATCCTTGTTTGGCCTACGGGTGGGCTCTTGGGCTCTGCCTACCTCAGCCCCGCACTTTCCGTCCGGGCCCACGCCCACCATTTCACAGTCCAGGCCACGCACGATGGGCCTGCTGCATTGGCTTTCGGATCAGAGTGGCAAGATGGGGCAGTGGGCAGTGGGCACAGCGATGCACAGCGCGAAGATGCTGGACGCTGGCTGTGCAAGGCATGCCCCCCTTCGCTACTTAGTTACTTGCCCAGAAACCCGAAACCCGAAACAGCCTAAACCCAAACCCCAACCCTAAACCCCAAACCCAAGACCCCAAACCCCGAACAGCAACCCTAAACCCCAAACCCCAACTGGGCTCAGAAAAAGGACGGACCGGCCTCCGGGCCCCGGAGCAGCTCGGCTTGGCCATGCCAGGGAAATGCATTTTGGGGGTGGGGGGGGGGGGGGCGTTGCTGCTGCTTGAAGGCTCGCGGGTAGTGAGAAGTCGGGTTTAGGGTTTAAGGGTCGACTTCATGGGTTGTGTTAAGCCTGTTAAGCAGGGTGTTGCCTCCCGCCCGGCTGACACATGCACGCCAGGGCTTCAGAGCTCTCAAGGCGCGTACAGTAGGGTTCTGGGATGGGTAGTTGCAAGTAGTGTGCAGTGTGTACTAGTGTCTGCTTGAAGGCTCATGGGTAACCCAGTTCCAACTACAGCTGTCTTAGGGGTAGTCCTAGGGGCAGAGGTGCTGCTTCTATGCGATTGCTTCAGCCCAGAACCTCAGCTTCTCGGCAGAGGCAGGTCCATTGACTTCAAGACCCCCCCTCGTAGCCTGGGTGCGCCACCCCGTCTGCCACCAACTGGGCTTCGGCAGCGACCGGAACGTCACATTGCACGCGCGGCCTCTCAGTCTGGAACCCCAGCTTGGGCCCTTCAGGCCCCCTTAACAACCTAAACCCTTTTTCACAAGGGACTCGACTGCTGCCCTTTCTGCCCAGCCCGCAACAACCTAAACCCTAAACCCTGAATCTCGAACGAGGGTTCACAGTAGCACTAAGGTCTTCCTTCGCACTTGGCCGTGAGTTACAAGACGACATGACTTCTAGAATGACCCCGACAAGTGGCTGTGCGGGGGCGCCATTAAGCCTGAAGCCTGAAATGGGACTCTTGTTGGCGGCAGCTCTGCTTGAACCGACTGCAAGGCACAGAGCCCCAGACTCAAAGAGAACACCAAACAAAAACAACCGACCAACAGCACCAACAGCCAGGGCCCAGGCCAATCACATCCATGAGTCGCGGCAACCTCAGTGTTCAAACCCATGCTCAAATCCATGGAGGGTGGGTCGAAGAAAGGGTTGGCCTGCAGAACATCCTTCTTGCGCCCCTTTTGGGGGTTCTATATAGGCAGTGCCTGTGTGGGGCACTCAAACCCCTCAACCCCTTGAGGCAGCCAAGCAACCGACGCTTCAGGGACGCCAAACTTCCGGGCTTTTGGGCGTGCTGGAAAGAAGTAGGCTTGTGCAGGGTTGTGCGGACCAACTTATCACCTCTTACCTCATTCCTAAGTACCCAGGAAGCTTGAGGTGGGCAAGGGTGGCACGGGACTGTTCGGCCGCTAAAGGTGACGGCCTGCAGAGCTCGTTCCGAACCGAGTGTCGCAGCTGCCCTACATCCCCAGTTAGCCTCAGCGTTAATAGAGATTCTTTTTGCATCTGGACTGCAGGAACCAATCAGCCAGATCCTAAACCCCAAAAACCAAAAAAAATGCTGCCCAAACCCTTTTGAGCAACGGACTTTGAGGCTGCCGGCACACATGCAACTGCCCCTTGTGCTTCCGGACTCCTGACTATCGCCGGACACCCAGGTCTCCAAACCCCAAACCCTGAACCCTAAACCCTAACCCTACACCCTGAACCCTAATCCCTAAACCCTAAACCCTAAAACCGTGAAACTCCTTGGCAGCAGCCCAGGATCGAAGCTGAGCCTGGCACACCTCCTCAGCCGGAAGGTACTCCGCCAGGGCTAGCCGGTCCAACTTGCCGGGGGAAAGCTTTGGGGGAGGGAGGGGGGGGTTGAGGGTTCCAGGGTGGTTTAGGGGCAGGGCTTTCAGATTGCTGCTTTACTGGTCAGGGTTGCGAGTTTCTGCTTCAGGTTCTTTCTTGAGGGTTTCAAGTTCAACCGGTTCAACCTTTAGGAGGTAGACTCACCGTGGAATCAAAAAGTACATGATGTGTACTCATGTCAGAAGCCGAATCCGCATGCGAGAAAGGATGGAGGTGTGTGTGTGCGCGCGCACCGGTAAGTGTTGTCAACCCCCCATTTTGCCGGAAAGTGAATGGGGTAAGATTTAGGGCTTCAAGATTGAAGGCCTGCCTTGTAGGAAGGATCTCTCTGCCACGGCCAAGGCTCCTCTTTCTTGCCTACTGATACCTCATGATGACTCGACGTAGTCCTTGTACCCGTGGATGCACCCGTGTACTAGGAGCACGCGGTTCGTTTGCACAGCCGGCCTCGCGGAAGACCAGGCCACGAAAGTATGCCTCTAGGGTTCTATTGAGGTTTCAGGCTTCGGCTTCAGGGGACGGATCAAGGTTTACTTACCAAGTTATTGCCGCCCACTTTACAGGGGCACGCTGCATCTAAAGTAAACGGACAGGATCAGAGCACGATGAAATACACCTGCGGCCCGGTCCTCCCCACAAGAGCAGCACCAATCACGAAAAGTAAAATATGGCGTGCCGAGGCTGAGCAGCTTGCACATCTCCCGGACCCCCGGCGTGTCCACAAACAGCTTTGGTTTGACATGGTACCGGCTCACCAGTAGCAGGCGCAGCATGACGTCGGCTTGTGTTGCTTTCTCTGCCACTCTCTGTTGCTTGCGTTTTCAAGCGTTTTCAAGTCCTCCACTTCCGTACGCAATCCTTCACCTGCTTTGGGTCCTAAAGCCCAACGAGCCCAACTGTTCTTGTTCTTGGAACCTTTTGGAAAGCTTGACATCGACTTGAAGTATTCTTCAGAGGCAATCCACATAAAATTCGATTGCGCCAAATTGTTCAACGCCATCCGCCTCATCAGCATGTGAGACCGCTCCGCCAGCGAGCTCATGCATCTGCCGCAGCGAAGGCGCCTGGGACGAGGCTTGTAAGCCTGGCTCAGGGTCGAGGGGGCGAGGTGGCAAGAACGATATAAGCACCCCCAACAAACATGTTCAGCCGTTGAACTAGGCTTCCCTTACGCGTAACACAAAAGTCCTACCTACCCATGAGCCCCGGGCAAGAGGGAGCAAAAGGCTTCCCTGCAAACCAACTAACGAGGCTTCGGCCAAGGCTGGCTGCAATGCTTCGAAGGCACCTTGCCAAGGGGCTTGCGGAAGTTTTGGGGTTTCGTAATATGTTGTGATAGAAGGCGCCGGGCCGATTCTTCTGTCGGCCTCACAACATCTCAAGACTCATGATCATCCCCAGGACCGAAGTTAAGCTCCAGGAGACCGAAAGCCATACTTTGGATTTGCTTAGGCTCATGGTCTGTGCAGTTATCAAGTCCAGCTACCCGGTACTTAGGAGCAAGTAAGCCCAAGGCATAGAGGGACCCTGCGCCAAGGCACGATCCAGAAGGCGCTTGGCGGCAGCTGAGTCTGCGGCGGCCTGCATGGGAGCTCAGGGCTTAAGATGCCTCGGGCTGCGGGGAACGCAGTAGACGTTGCAATTGAAGGGCTGTCGATAGGCACTCTTGCAGCTGACTGCTTGAGGCCCGCTTGTGGCTCGGATGCTCTTCGACTCCTGTAAAGCTTTCGGGTTGTGCTCCCATGACGTCTGGGAGCGTGCTCGACTTGTCCATATCACTAGGCCTTCAAGCCCACACTTTGTGAGCTCACTGTTGGCTTCAGGCGTCCAGGAAAAAACACCCAAAAGCTCTCAAGCCTCCAAAACAGCCTACGCAATGCTGGGGTACATCCTGAGGGTTTGAAGACTACCGCAGGGGTTTCAGGCCTTGAATCACTGTCGGATGGATGGTTGAGGCAAGGGGGCTTGGGGTGCAAGGGAACTATCTACCGTTTCGAAGGGATGATACCTGCGAGCTGGTAGACTGGACGCCCTAGACCTGAAACTTTGCCCCCCCCCCCCCCCCCGCAAACGCTAAACCCTAAACCGTATACCCAAAATCCCTGAGCCCGAACAGAGGCCTTCTTTTTGCACCGTGCTCGCTTCTTGGGTCCCAAAGCCAAGTGCTCTGAGCGCCCAGTCGCTCACAAACCTCTTCACGGTGCTACTGCCGCAACTGCGGCCTTTTTTGAAGTTAGTTGCATGCAGGGCGAAGACACTGTGACTGTCCTTGGGGTTGATTCAGCAATAGAAGACCCGCGTCCCCTGATAAATAAACACGAGGCACAGCCCCACAGACACCTCCCAAACCCTCTGCCGTAAACCCCAAGCCCCATTCCCGAAATCGGGCAATCCATAGACGACCAGGGTTCCCAGAGTTCCAGACAAAACGATGTCTCGAGATATAAGTCTTCAGTTCTACCTGGTGAAAACCCTATTGGGCTTCACTTGCAAAAGCCATTCAAAGCCTACCTGCAACTATACAAGCCAGAAACTCGAAGTACACTAAACCCTAAACCCTACATCCTAAACCCTAAACACTAAACCCTAAATCCTAAACCCTAAGGAACCCTCGTCTGCTCAGAGCTTGGATGTCTGCGGCGCAGCACAGAAGTCGCGCAGCGCTGCGGTGACGGCCGCGCCGTGACCTGGACTGAGGCTCATGGGAGGGCTCTTCGGACTGAGGGCTTCAGGCTTCCGGGGGGGGTAGGGGGTGGGTTAGGGTTTAGGGTTCAGGGTTCAGGGTTCAGGGTTCAGGGCTCAGGGCTCAGGGCTCAGGGTTCAGGGTTCAGGGTTCAGGGTTCCGGGCTTAGGGTTTGGGTTTTCTTGCCGCAGGGTTCAGGGATTTTTGCCTCCCACCTAGCTGGTTCAGAGCCTTACAACATCTTGCAACTGGATAAGTAGGCTAGCTGTAGTTGCAACTGGCACTTTTGACATGTACACAAGCCTTCTTGTAGCATTCTATAGCAATTCTTTGGGTACTCTTAGACAGTCTTGTTCATGTGACCTTCTATGGGTAACTTTCATATGTAGCAATCCTACATGTGGACACTAGCTGCCCATGAACTGCTGAATGTTTCAGAGTTCAGAAATAGGGCATAGTTCTGGCTGGAGATGGAGGTCGGTCCATTTTGGGATCTCTACTTAAGCATGCGAGGGCCTGTCAATGCGAGGAATGTATGATGCGGACCTGCAACTTGGATCTCTAAGCATGCATCAGATATCATGGAATCGGGCAACCGAATTCGCCTGTGCGAAGCCATACCCTGCCCTGAAGCAAAGGGTTACCTTCATGAACAACGCTGAGAAATGTCTGTAAAGGGCTTTCAAAGCCTCGATATGTGTCGAAGGCTTTTTGTATGTGAAGTTTCGGGCCAGCGCGCTCTCTTGCAGGCTGTGCCCACCACCGGGAACCATCACCTCGAGCGAGTCTGATGCTGTCAGCGGGGAGGGTTCGGACTTTTACGGCATAGGAGGGCTCCGTCGGGCCAGCAAGATCCGAATGCATTGTACACTCTCCCTGTAGCTCAAAGAGTCGCAATAGGGCCCCTGCGAGCTTGGCGTTGGCCACCTCGGCCGCGCGTTGCGTCTCTGGGTTGGGGAGTCTATAATAGAAGTGTCAAGAGTGAGTGAGTGTGTGTGTGTGTCTGCCTCAAATTATGTATGCAGAATGCAAATTGGTTGTGCAGCGTGCAACGAACGCATGGCTGAGCACTCAACTTTTTTCGCCATCATCTGCGCAGCGGCATGGAAGGATTTGTCTTGCTCCTTGGGGCTTCGTGAACTGGGGGGGGGGGGGGACTACTGGCCGCATGCAGCGAGCAGGCAAACCCTAACCCGGTCCCGAGACTCTGAAAGCACTTCGAGTCTCACGGCGAGTACACGCGCAGGCAAGGCACTTCGACTTTGAGGTTTATGGGGATGAGGGTTTCCAACCCAGAAGCTACTGCAGCAAGTCTATCCACGCAATTAACCGCGCAGGTAGATTTATATGTCAGAGGAGTAATCCACAGGCAAGGCGCCCCGATGAGAACGAGCGTAGGCACCTTGACTTCATCCAACCTCTGGGCGACCTTCGGTGGTGGAATTGGCGACTGACGCATATGGATTTACTACTGCACATGTCTCCACATGGGGCCTCGTGGCGAGTAGGGTCTGGAAAAACTCTCGAAACCTTCAACGTGCTCCTACAAACGCCTGCCTTAAAACCCAAGAACCACATACTCAATCTTAGCCTTTGAGGGTTCATGGGCAGTCATAAGTTGATAAGCTAAGTCCACCAAGGAAGGCTACAAACAGTTATATCTGCAGCTGCCCCCCATCATAACCACCCACTCTCCAAACAGAGGGGTAGGTTGATTAGGGCAGCTGCCCCCCCATCATAACCACCCACTCTCCAAGTAGAGGGGTAGGGTTTATTAGGTTTTGCAGGGTTCAGCCCACCAGAGAGCTGCACAACTGAGGCCGACACAGTCGCCGCACCGTGGGGCATTGTGCTCAGCAGGGGGTCCTTCTGGTCGCGACGGGAGTTTAGGGCTTGATAGGCACAGCATCCATTGTTCTTCGTCCTGCTCCAGCTGCGCGAAGATGTACCTTGATGCAAAAATGGTGGTTGCAAGGGCGCAAGGTAGGTGGTACTCCTACGCCTGACTGAGAACATCAGCATCCAGCCGCCCCCCCTCCCACAAAGACTCTCGACAATCTCTGCGAAGACGCTTCGCGGAATTTGCCAGGCCGACTCGTGCGCCGTGGTCAGTGTGGCTCTGAGCGCGGGTGGCGTTGATGAACATAAAGGGAAGAAGCGGTAACGTGATTCCAGCTGATGTGAAGTAGTCGAACTCAAACTTCCATCTGTGCTCTACTGGCACTGCTAGGTCCTTGGTGTGTTGTTAATGTATACGTAGGCTTGGGAATCCCCAGAAGAAGGCCACAACTGCCCACGAACCGCCAAGTAAGCCACATTAAGCCACAAAGAAGAACGTTCAGATTTTGGAGTTCCTTCATGCTTTCGATCTGTGCCTTGTTCCGATCCGTCTTGGGCAACGCATCCCGGCCTTTCCTCAGATTGTTGCACAAGTCGGCCACGAGTGCTTGCATCTGCGGAAACGAGCAGCAACCACCAGCCCTCAAACTTCCAAGCTAGGTTTCGCAGTGAACTCGGCAGCCAAGACCTCGGCGCGGCTGTTCCAGCGCTGTCTCGACTCCGCCTTCCTCGGCTTCTTTGGGGCGAACGCTGGGCTACGGGGCTTCGCGAGAAGGTGCCTGCGAGGGCTTGGGCGGAGGAGTTGACATTGGAGCTTTCGGTCACAATTTGCCATTTGGGCTCTCTTTCTTTCTTTCTGCGCACCTGACCCCCCCCGTGTTGGGGAGGACCGCCCGAAGGGGTGCGTTACAGAGTACTGCGGGTTGACCGACGTCGTGGGGTCCCGGGATCACTAACCTCTGATATAATAGTTGCAACGATCCCATTTGGGCTCTCTCTCTCTCTCTTTCTCTCCGCTGCCGTGGCGATTGCAGGAGCCAGGGAGGCATCCTAGAACTAGCCCAACTTTTTGCTTCGACTTTTCTCAGGAGTGGGGCTTGCAAGGCTTGCTCGCCATGGCCACGCTGCCCCAAACCCAAAACACCCGAATCTCCAACTAAGCCGCGGTGTTCCGTGCTACACAACTGCCCATGAACCCTAAACCCTAAACCCTAAACCCTAAACCCCTGGACCCTCAACTTCACACCCCGAAGCCAAGACCAAGTCGGTATAGTGCGTAGGCCAAGCAGCGCGAAGCCTGGCCCGGTGCTGATCCTCAGGTGTTCATGGTTCAGGGCTGAGGAGGAGAAGTTGGATTTGGGGTTTAGGACTTAGGGCTTAAGGTTCAGGGTTAGGGGGTTCAGACTTCAGAGTTTTTAGGCTTGAGCTTGGGCTGGTGGAAGTTCGCACGCTTTTGACGGTGTTCGTGCTTGTGAAGGGCCCCGGGCCCAGACCCCCGAACCTCAGACTGCACTTTTTAAGGCTCATGGCTGGTTGTAGGTGAGGTTCGGGTTGGATGCACGTTGCTACTTCGCACCATCTCTGCTGACGCATGCCCATGAGCCTTCACAAGAACATCCTCCCTTGTAAACCCTTTTTGCCACTGGACGGAAGGCTAGCCAGAGCCTAGCTTATAAACCCCAAACCCAAAATCCTCAAAACCCCCTAAACCCAACTGGAACTTCAGAGCCAGGGAGCAGGACCAAGGCCCTCACCCTGGCCGCACGGCTTGGGCTGCTGAGCCTGTGTAGTCGCTCCCAAGCTGGTTTCACTAGGGCTCAGGGCTTTTGTTGCCCAGGGATTAGGGTTGGGTTTAGGGTTTCAAGCTTTAGGGCTAGGGAGAGAGAAAGTGACGCGTCCAGCGAGGAATCTCTGCAAAAAACAACATCGCGACAACGACCTCAAGCACAAACGCACACAGGACCTTGAGCATCTGCACGTGAGTTTCGTGAGGGTCTCGTAATCAGACCTCACCCTCTCTGGCTGAACTCCACCCAAAGCCCTCAGCCGGGCTCGCATTCATAAACCTGAAGATGCAGCGGGCATGTCCCAAGCCGAAAAAACAACACCTTCATCATCATGTTGTAGTCATAGGGCCCATATTTGTGGGCATCCAAATAACCTACATTAAACTTGACACCCCATGCATTCCTAAACCACCCTGCCGGGAAGCAGAAAGAGGAGCGAATCGAATCCTCCCAGCGAGTGCCTGGGACTCAGGTTTCTCCCAGGGCGCCTCAAGGTTGTGGTGTAGGGCTTAGCCTTGGGGCTTGCAGTGTAGAATTCAAGAGCTGAGCAATCTGAGAACACGTCGGGCGCAGGCTGAAACCCGTGGGTAAAGCCTCCTGGACATCACAAGCCTTCTCATGGGATGGAGTCGGGGCTCACCCAAATACCCTGCACTTTAGGGCTTAGGGGTTTGGAATTTAGGGTTGAGGGTTTTGGGGTTTGATTTGCAGGACGCTTTGGGTTCAGGCCGAGTCGCCCGACGAAGATCGCAGATGTCACACCGCAAGCATCCAGGACACTCTCCATGTCCTCTGCCAAAACGTTCCAAAACAATTGCAAAAAAAGCAAACAGCCAACCCAATGCCGAAAAGCTTGCCTTCATTGATCTGTAACCCAAGATATTCTGGCTCTACCGGAGGCCGCTCTCACCCAAGATAAAAACATGCTTTCGCATGCGACACCCAAGAACAAAAACTCTTGAACCCTCAGGCGCCGACTCTGAACCCCAGACGCCCCCAAAACACAGCACCAAAACGTCCGAAAGGGCTGAAGGTGTAGGGCTTCTTGCCTTCAGGGTTTAGGGTCTAGGGGGGTCTAGGGGGTCTAGGTTTAGGGTTTACGGTCCCAAGAAACATCCCCAAAAAGCTGCTCCCCCCGAGGTCCTTCAGCTGGTGCTGCTTGCTGTAGACCTCGCTGCTCTCGGGGCTGTCGGAGCGGCCATGGCCACCTGCGGGTCTATTTGTTTTTTGTATTATTTACATGTATTTTGGCTCATTTGTTTTTTGTTATTCCTTTATTTTTTATCTCTACATTATGTGTATATAAAGATATCGATATAGATATAGAAATAGATATAGAAATAGATATAGATATAGATATAGATACAGATATAGATATAAATATATAGATATGGACATAGCTATAGACATAGATATAGATATAAAGATATAGATATAGATACAGATACAGACAACGATACAATTCACATGGTTTTAGAAGGCTTTTCGGTCGCTCCCGCATGACTGGAGTTTTGAGTGCAGGGCTTAGGGCCCTGCACCCAGGCCCAGGTTGCAAGTTTTTGCTGCAGCTTGCATAGCGCTGTCCGGATCGGCTTCAGGGTCCTTTTGCAGCAGGCTTGCAGAACAACCCCAAGCCCTAACCCTCAACTCTAAACCCTAAACCCTAAACTCTGAGTTCGCGCGCAAGAAGGGTTCAGAGAGCTGGGAGGGGGCTGTGCTTTGGGTGGCCTTGGCCGGGGGGGCGGGGGTAGCGTGCAGCTTGATTGCCCCAACTGAAGTCTCCGATGTAAGCAGGGGCCGCTAGGAAGATAACAGGCTTGACAAACCTGAACAAAATATCCCAAACCTCCAAACTGTCCAAGCTCGTTCGGGCGGGGAGCGCATGTCCCAACGAATGAGGCGGAACTCCTTAGACAGCGCCAGCTGAGCGTCCCAGGTCTCCCCTGTCAGGGGTTGATTTGGGAGGAGGCTTTGACTTAGCAGCACGGGGCTCTTCCACAGTATCCCTAAACCCTTTCGCATCCCTTAAACCGCCAGGAGACAACAAGATCGCAGGAACCGCCTGAAACCAAACGGAGCAAACCCCCACAACACGAACCCAACACCACCCCACACCCCAAACCCTGTCTGCCAGCCGTTCAAGCCGCGCCACCGGTACCGCTGAAACCGTGGGTCATGAACAATACTGGGCCTGAAGAGGTCAAGCATCAGGGCTGGGATCCGACAAGTGTGTTTCGCATTCTGACATGGAACCACAAAGTTTAGGGTTATATAGGGTTATATAGGGTTATATAGGGTTATATAGGGTTATATAGGGTCATATCGGGTTATATAGGGTTATGTAGGGTTGTATAGGGTCATATAGGGTTATATAGGGTTCTATAGGGTTATATAGGGTTATATAGGGTTATATAGGGTTATATAGGGTCATATAGGGTTATATAGGGTTATGTAGGGTTGTATAGGGTCATATAGGGTTATATAGGGTTATATAGGGTTATATAGGGTTATATAGGGTTATATAGGGTTATATAGGGTTATATGGGGTTTAGGGCTTACAGGCTTCAAAATTCACCTGCACCGAAGAATCATGAGGTCAAATTGCGCAAAACTATCCTGGAAAGTTGTCGCTTCTGAGGCTATCTCCTTTCAACCCACACCTGCATGGTTTGCCACTTCACGTTTTGTGAACGTTCTCGTTTTATCCACGTTCTCTGTTGGAGTTTAGGGCCAACAGGCTTCTACTCAGATCCTCCTCAGCGCAGCCAACAATGGGAAACAATCTGCGGATGCCTCATGCACACGGGGCTCGACCTTAGGGACCCTTCACAAACTGAAACGAATATGAGCCAGATTCATACCCAACTACATCAAGTAAGTGCTGCCTCCAACTGGGAAACCTTAAAAACCTTCTCAGCCCTCTGGAAGGCTGCAAGCCAGCGCCGAGCCTTCGCCACCCGAATCCTCGTAGTAGATCTTGACGCCATCATGCGTCGCAAAGGGCATGGCCGGAAGGATCAGTGCTCCGAGTGTCGGGACTTCCCAAAGAAATGTCGAGAATTGGGCGGGATCGCTGAGGGAGCTCCGCGGAAGGCTTCGGAAGCTGTGACCAAAAGACCTCGCATGAAGCCCTACAACAGCACGCCTTCTTGAGCAGCATTTGCACTTTCAAGGGTTGAGGGATCTAGGGCTTATGGAATTTTAGGGTTTAGGGGGGCTGAAATGGCTTGCTGCCCCCCCTAACCCCCCCCCACACCCCCCCCCCCACCCAAACTCAGGCAAACCACTGGCTGAGAATGCCAATGCTAGGAAGCCAAACCATTGGGACATATTGGGACATGTTGTACAAGCACAGCCCTAAATTCGAAGCCCTGACAGGCAAGAAGGCGGGCGCAAGTCAATCCCAAAACCTTAAACCCTAAGCCCTAAGCCAAATCCCAGAAACCTATAACTATTCAATGACTATAGAACCCTTCTTGCTGTCTGAGTTGTTGTGAGAACCAGGCTACCAGCTACCACTCGGGCCCTAACTCCCCCCTCACCTGAAACACCCAGTCCCCAAAAACACCCTACACCCGAAAACACTAACTCCCCAAAAACAACCGCCAAACCCTTTTGGAGCCCAGACTCCTGAAGTCCACAAACCCCGCCAAACCCTAAATCCGAAACCCTAGATCCTAAACCCTAAACCCGAAACCTAAACCCCAAACCTTGTCTCGTCTCGCCATAAGGTAGATGAGACTAAACTCCTTAGCTGTGAGCTCACCCGCAGGACTCCTCGGCCAGCGGTCGCAGCTGCCAGTCCGCCCAGCTGGCGAAGCCGAGCCTTTGCAGTGGGCAGGTCGGGTTTACGGGGTTTAGGGTTTGGGTTTCCGGTTTAGGCTTTTGGGTTTGCGGTTTTGGGGCTTTAAGGGCTTTAAGGGCTTTAAGGGCTTTAAGGGCTTTAAGGGCTTTAAGGGCTTTAAAGGGGTTTAGGGGGGATGGAATTGGGCTCAGCAGGGTTCGGGGCTTGGAGTTTGTCATCATGCAAGCTGGAAAGCCTAAGCTCTCCAGTTGGAACATGCCCTAAGTTGAACCCGAATCACCCTCGGAAGCGCGGCAGACTTTCCAAGCCGCGGGCATGACAGCTGGCACACAGCCGCAAGCTTTCTTGAAACCCAAGTAAGCGCACTTCCGGGTAACTTAACGTCCCCCCCCCCCCAAACCCTTCTGCAAACCTCACCGACTTTTTTCTCCGCGGCATCATGCCCAGGGGGGTGCGGGCACATCGTCGTCCTCGGAGGCGACCTCACGACTTCGTGGCGAATTTAGGGATTCGGTCCGGAAGGCCAGGCGACGCCTGTTTTAGGGCTTAAGGCCTGCAGGTACATGCCAAGAAGAGCTGGTAGGTTGGAAGCGGCCATGGACCCCGTGTCAGAGGCTTTCGGTCTTTGCTTCTCGGTCAGACTTAAAATGACCTGTGAGTATCTGCAAGTGCGAAACTCCTGGGTCCTTCTCACTTTCTTCAAGCAGCAATGCTCTGGCCTAGTACTTCAGTACCCACAACAGCCATCACCTCTGGGCTACGTCTGTAGTGTTGGGTTTCGACGGCACAAAGTTCGGTACGTGATTCTGTTGCCTCCTGCATAGCTGGCACGGCTGCCGAAACCGCAGCCAAGTTTGGATTTGGGCGGTCCGCATGGGAGGCGCAAAGCACTCTGCATCTCGGGACTTTTGTATGCCATCCACCAAGTCTACGCACCGCAGGGTCGATTTCATCGAAGGACGACAAAGCAAACAACTTGCACAGAGGATATCCGTCACTGACAACCCTTACCATCATTCCTACATATTCCTACATCCCATAGTTCCGCAGCAGTACCATCCATGCCTCGAACTACAGGCATTCCTCCGCGACACGCTACACCTGTCGCAGCATACAGGATGCTGATGCAGGCACTGGCCCCATGGCCCCTCCCCCACACGACATGCCCCCCACAATCACAGCCCTCCACATTACATCTTGCAGAGTGGTTTTGAACAAAACGCAACCCTTGTGAGACAGGAGCCATGGTAGCAGCATGTGGAATGGCTTGACCACTCACATGCCGTCGAGATCAAAGACACTGCGCCCGGGCAATGGGCAGACTTCAAAGCAACTTTAAAGGCTCCCAAAACATTGCGAGGCATTCGTTGGCCTACACTTGACTACGCGAGTTGTGGGACCATCTTTTCTCGTGCGAAACACAGACCTATAGAAGAGATCGCTATTGAGATACATGTTAAAGTGTTTTCAAGTGCTTCAAGCCCTGGACAGTCGCCAAGTTAGCCTCAAACAGTCAGGCCCCCTCAGCACTTGCCCTGCGGCTTTGTCTGCTCGTCTTTTGCAGCTCTTGTTCTGCGTTTGTCCTTGCCCAGGCGAGCTCGTTTGGCAGTTTCTTTTTTGAAGCTAGAAGCTTCTGATGAGCTGATGGCGTTTGCCACGGAAGCAGCTAGGTAAGGGCGGTAGCTCCACTGTTTCAAGGACGGCCATCGTCCGTCACAGGTGGAGGCGCTGAACCAGCTCCGGGATGATGACGTCCCTGATCTGACTGAAGCGTTCATGTTGATGCGAGGGAATTCCACGGACTCAACGCCAGCCGTGCGCCGAAACTGGTCGTCGTCCCGCAGGCTGTCTGCCGCGAAGTTGAACGCAGCCACGTCTTTCTGGCAAGCTTCGAGCACGAGCCCCTTGTCACGTTGCAGGCGCGGTGAGGCGAAATGCAATGCCAATGCATTCTGTTGAATGGCCGCATGAACGACTTCTGGATCGCTCCGCAGTTCCTTGCCAACGTATTTAAGTGCATGCCCAACACTTGTAACAGCGGCAAGCGCCACCTCTTTGTCCTTTCTGAAACGTTCTGGCGCCCATTGCAACGCCATGCCATTGGCAGACACTGCTGCAAGCGCCACTTCACGGTTCTGACGATCCAGATCGTCAAGGCCGGCTAGCGCCGAGCTCCGGGCAATAACACGTGCAACCAAGCAGGCTTGTCGAGAAGACTTGTCCTGTACTCTGGTTGGAATCGGCGGGAGGACTGCATGCATGAGGATGTTCGACAAAACATGTATCACTTCCAAAACGTGAAATTGTCAGCGAGCAAAATGGTATCTTTTGCGTTCAGCTTATGCATATGAGCTGCATTGACCACATGTGCAGGCCCCCAGATCCAACAGCCTTGAGCCAAAAGGGTTTGGTGTGTCAGCTTTGGCGTCCTCTGGATGCCCTTCCGACCACTGAATGTCTAGACTCCAATACGCTGAAAGAAAGCCGAAAAAGCCCATCCACAATCAGGAAGTCTCACATCCCCACAGCTGCCTCACTGCCCACATCGTTCGTTACCTCGTCCTCTCGCGGGCTCCCGACGTCGCGGGTGAGCTCAAAGACCTTCGCACAAACCCAAACTGAAAAGGAAACTGGTCTGAGGCCGGAGCTGAAAACTCCTTGTACGCAGACTTCGCTGAAGACCCCATACGTCCGCAAAACCCTAAGCTGTGTACATATATACATACATACAAATAGATCTTCAAACAAAGACTGACGGTTTGAGGATTGGCTGTAAGGTCGAGGGTTGAAGATGGGGCTTTTAGGGTTTAGGGGTTTAGGGGCTTAGGGGCTTGGGGGTTTAGGGGTTTAGGGGTTAGGGGTTTAGGGGTTTAGGGGTTTAGGGGCTTAGGGCTTAGGGGTTTAGAGGTCCTAAAGCTCCCGAAACGGAGGTTTACGAAATCGGGGTTGGGATCCTTATTCTGAGGGACTCCTACGATTTGGGGCGGCTATCTTTGATTTTAGGGGGTCCCCTATTTTTCGTAAACCCCCGAATCATTATCCCAAGCCCTGTCTGGTTGACGGGTAGTGACCCAAGGCCGAAATAGCAGACTGAGTACCCTTCATGCGTCAAGTATACGGCTGGTCCACTAAACCCTTTCTTGGAGGAGGGGGCGGCCGTGCACAATACCCTCATTATTCATTGAGTGAAGGTGGCTTCTTAATAAGGTAGCTTCTCGAAGGTCTGGTGCTACGGTCATTCAAGAACACTCCGTAAAGATCCGGAAAATTCCCAATAACTCCCAAACATTCCAAAGCATTCCAACCCATTCCCAAAACATTCTATGAAAAGAATCGGAACATCCCCCAAAATTCCAAAACCTTCCGAAACATGCAGAGCTATCTGAAACCTTCTAGTACACGCATTCTCAAACATTGCAAGAAAAAACCCACAGAAACCCCCCAAAAAAAATCCCCAAGTCCGAACACTTTCAACAACGTACCAAAATCCCAAGGAAGTCCAAAAACCCAAATCAAAAGACAACACAAAACACATCCACCAAAACACCAAAACGCAAAGTCCGAAACAATCAAACCCTCCAACTAAGCCAAAAACACCAAAAAAAAAAAAAAAACAAGCGTCCAGCTTCTGAGCATGCGTGCGTAGTATGTTAAAGAGCAGTTTTGAAGCACAGTGATCTGGAATAACATTGAATGATCTGGAATGATCTTGAACTTTACGGAATGATTTTGAATGAGTCTGACAAGCTAAAGAAACCATGAGCCCCCCCCCCCCCCCCCAATCCTTAGAGAAGACCTCAGGTCCAGGTCCAACCACACTTCCGGAACGGAACAGCCTGACCTCATTCTGACTACCACTGGCTATTCTTCTTATTTATCATGATCGTCATTTTCACTTCAATGCCCACCAGGCTGCTCTTGGCGAGCCCGGCTCCATCCGGAAGGCGTAGATGAGTAGGGCGTAGATGGCCTCGTAGGCTCTCCCCGAAGCGTTGTCGTTGCGGTGTTTCGCGCCATGCAATCTGCAAGTTGTTTGTCGCCACCCGTCTAGCCACGCACTACGGTGTTGCAGCCTAGGAGAACAAACAAGTCACCGTGGACCACTGCCAAAAGATGGGATGTTTTCCGGATTGATTACGTTTCCGGCCTTTGTTCACACGCTCAAGGGCAATCATCAGACAGCCAACTTGGGATGTTCCTGGGATGTTACCCTTATAATAGGGATTATAGTATAATCCCCATTAAGGACTGTAATGGAAACATCCCAACACCCAATCTACAAACCTGTCCAACCATAAAACAAGCGATTCTGCAACGACCAACCTCCTAAGGGAGCCCTGCCTGTTAGGCCTCATATAATATACTATCATATAATATAATATAATATAATATATAATATAATCTAATATAATATGATAATACAATATAATATACTATGATATACCATAAATAAAGTACTATAAACATAAACAGAATATAATACAAATCAGGCAATAAAATACTGAGTTTATGATATCTGCTGGGCGCCTTACATCCAGTGCCTTTCCCTTTCACGGCTCAGGCAAGCACTTGGCCCACCAATCGGGGTAGTTCGTGCACCGACCCCCTCTGGAAGCCACTAGAAAATTGCCCGATTTGATAAGGGTTTCGACCGCGTGCAGTATGTTTCTTACGAAGTCCTAAGCAGGTGAGTATTACACACTGCCGGAGAGCCATTTACGTCCCAGCCAGATCTCAGTTTTACTTGAACCTTCGGGATCCCTGCTTCGGCTCTCAGTTTTGCCTGCTTTGCTCATCCTGCGCACCTTCTTGCTGCAAGTCCTTCTCCCGGCAAGATCGGCTACTACAGGGAAACAATCCCGTGAACCATGTGAAAAGCCGCTGGGGTAGACATTCCTGGCGACCTAAAGTTCCTTGATCTGCCAATCTGCCCCTCCCCTTTGGTTTCGCCAGTGACTCACGGGCTTGCAAAACTACAAGCACTGTTCAGCTTGTGTCTTCATCGGCGTTTAGGGGAAGGGCTGTAGGCATTGGAAACTGGCATGGGGAAGCTGGGCGTCTGCACCGCGCGGACCTGCAGGAATCGCTAAACATGCCTATGTATAAACATATATGTATATATACATACTTGTATATGTCTGTGTATATATATATATGTATGTATACTGTGTCGATTCATATATATATACATATATATATATATATATGTGTGTGTGTGTGTACAGGAAAACTTTATATGCGTGGATGGTCTCTGCTGCGGTGCGTTCCTCAGCTTTCCCCACTTGTGCACGACGGTGACGAAGCCCCTGATGGCCTTCCCTTTAATCAGGACTTCAAACCCTAAACCCTAAACCCTAACCCTAAACCCTAACCCTAAACCCTCAACCCTAAACTTTTCGATATATACATATATGTATACATAATAATTATATATATATATATATATGTACCTGGAGAGATCCCACACTTCGTCCGCACAGACGTCTCACACGTGTACTCCGTGCTGGGGAGGCCCGACATCGAAGTACTACCAAATCCGAAACAGGAACAGGAGACCAAGCAGTCGCTTGAGGGTTTAGGGTTTGGGGTTTGGGGCTTTGGGTCCCGTTAGGTTTTTGGGGCCCAACTTGGTCTCCGCGAACCACGCTGCATCAAACGCCTCGGCGGTGATTCTCGCCGCCTTTGCCTGCCTGTGCATGCTGCAACAGGAAAATGGCTGGGCCCGGATAGGGAGGAAGCCCGCTGGAAACGGTCGAGAAATTCTGCATGCGCTCAACTTCATACACTCCTGCTGCACATGCAATAGGCTGTTTTTTGGTGTCTTATTTGGACAAAGCTTTCCCGGATGACGCAGAAGAAAGCACGCAGTTTGGCCGACAGGTTCACCGTGGGGCCCTTTCTAAAATCAGGCGAAGACTTCGCGGCACAAGATGCCTGACCGTGGCCCCGTCTTTATTGGCATCCGCCTTGAAACTCTGTTGCTTCTGGCCACGGGGTTTGCCAGATCATTGCCTGGGGGTCCGAACTAGAGGTCGAAGAAGAGCACGCCATTCCTCTCAGTAACCACCATGCCACTGATGCTGAGTGGTATACCGGGCTGGGTAGCAACCGGTGCCATGTGCGAGCTCGCCGATGCCTGACTGTACCCACACGGTTGTGGAAGGCCTGGGCCTTCTCCTAAATGAAATTGCCATCTAGGAGGACCGGGACGTAGTGGAGGCTGCTGTCTCTCGTCTCCAGCTGTCCACATACCGGGGGCGTCTCCTGTGGCCGATGCTCCCACTTGGGTGCCGTCAACCACAGGGCGCCGTGCTTGCCACTGGGCCGCAGGCGAAGGACTGGGGATTGTAGGCGCAGCCACCGCTATTGGTGCAGATTGGGCCGCTGAGCTCTGTTGCCGCCCTGGCCGGCTTTGCGACGCGCCTGTTGCTGGCGGAGATGGCCGCTGAGCCGCGGCGGCTTGGCGGCTGTCTTTGGCCCTACGCACATCCACTCGTAGCCGCTCAAGCATCTCTGGCGGAACGAACGACTGCACAGCCAAGCGCAGGGGTATCTGGCGCCACCCTTGAAACACTGTGGGCGCCGTTGCGCTCTCGAGACCACGCCGGCCAGCCTTGGCGTAAAAGGCCCCGAGGTTCTCAGCTAGGCCTTGATAGCGAGCCTGCTGTACTTTCCCGATGTGGCCTCGGCTGTCTCGGATCTGGTTATGCACTGAAGTGAAACAGTTGAGGCAAAGGTCGTGAGAGATGAAGTTCACAATCATCACGCGTGGACATTGTAAATAGACGAAGTCGTAGGGCAAAACATTCCCTTTCCATAGTTCCGGACAGACCATTCGAAGCATGAGCAGGAACTCGTCTTTTTCTAAGTCCTGCGTTGTCCGAAAAACAACTGTCGTAGCCCCATGAACCAAGCGAGACATGCTAGCAGTCCAGCCAGACCGACCAGACCCATCTAGCTTGGAAGGGTGCTGGCTCAGCGGTTGCGGCCCGGACAAAGCTCGCTGTCTTGCCGCATCTTGCCTCGAACTTCTGTGTCAGTGAGCCGCTGTGATTTCTGGAACCTTGCGTTGGCGGCGCTTGTCACGTCGCAGCCCACATCAGCTCAAGGGAGTGTTCTTGGGTTGGAATTTTAAGAGGGTTGAGGCTTTAGGGTCTTAAGGGATTCGACGACATCATACTGGATATTGGGTTTCGTGGTCCGCGCCGCGAAGCGCCCCAGCGCACGCTGCCGCAGGGCTGTCTGAAATCCAGGGTTTGGGCTTAAGGTTTATGGATGCTTAGAGTGTTGGCTTAGGGTTTCTAGGGCAAAGGAGGGTTTTAGGGTGCAACAACAGACCAGCCAACACCCACGCAGCTCCGGTAACGCGATAGCGATGCCGACTTGAGCCAAAAACGGGAATGTTGTGAAATTTCTTGTGGGACTTCTCTGGTTCAAGGGTTTGTAAAGGGCATTAAAGGGCCTTGCATGCCGAGGTGCCCATGTTCGCAGCTCTTGAATGGCGATGTACAGCCACTGCCTTGCCATGACCCCCAAGCCTTCTTGGAAGCTCATAGGTGGTGAAACGAAGGGTTAGACGAACCCCAAAGAAGAGTACAACCGGCAATGTGTTGCGAACCCATACCCCCCAGTCAAAACTGCGACTGACTGAACATCCAAGCAAGCCCCCAGTTTTGAACCCACACATCTCTCATCCGTTCGCCCATCTCAAGCCAAACCCAACCCCTCCGCTCCCCCACCCTAAACCCTAAACCCTAAACCCGATGCCAAGCGGCGCATCCCAGGGCACCACAGTGACCTTGAGGAACAGCTCGACCGTGGGAGCAATGATGAAGCCAAGGAAGACCTGGTGGCACCGCAGGGATCATCGGGATCGGGTTCGACTCTCGCACTCACTCAAGCGGGCTTTGGGGTTGAGGGGTTGAGGGGTTGAGGAGTTGAGGGGTTGAGGGCTTGAGGGGCTGATCCAGCCTCAAAACTCCTGACAGGAAAAAGGTCAATTCTCGGGGCCGTGCCCACCGGAAGATATAGTAGGCTGTGAGCTTCCGATAGAGCTTTCCGCTCTCCTGAAGGGCGTGAGATGGGGCTTCAGGGGCTTTTGGGCCATACACGACTTCCTTGTTTTTGATGGCAGGTGGGGCAAGGGTCATTCTCCTTCCTTTCAAGGTGCCTGCTCTCAGCGTCTTCTGCTAGCTCTACGAAGGATTTGGCATTGGGGCCATTCCACGCGCTTTGCGGATACCATTACTCGGCATACACGCAGGGTCGAGGGTTAGGAACCTGCGTTGAGGTTCAAGCCTCATCAGCATCATCAGCGGCATTTGTGGCGCAGGAGGGCTGCTTGAAATGAGGAAATGGAAAAAAGGCCCCCCGAGTTCCTTTGTACACGACATGCTGGAGCCGGTGGCTGTGAACGCCTATGAGTCTGAGAAGGGTGTCTCTGCGCGCGCTGAACAAACCAACAAAAACGCAACCGGAGGGTTCCAGAAAGTCCCCGGGAAAACTCACCCCCCCCCAAAAAGCCCACAACAACCCCAACATGCCGTGGCTCCAGGGAGGCGGGCGCATCCGAGATGGCCGACGCCAGCTTTTGCAGGTTAAAGTTCATGGCTACCTGGTCTTGGATGTCTTGGGTCCAGGGTATCCGGCTTCTCAGCCGCACTCCATGGGGCCGAAGGTTTTGGGGTTTTGGGGTGCAAGCGTTTCTCGGCTGCTTTCGGAACCTCACGGGTTCAAACGTCGCAAGGAAAGCTACTCTTTGGCTTTGGGACTTGGGGGTTTTCGAAAATGGGGGAACCCTTTTGGGGGTGTCCCTTCAAGGGCATTCTATTCGATTTGGGGTACAAGAGGGGTACCCCTATTTTGGGAGATGCCCACCTAGATGCCGGCGGATTTGACTCCCGCACCCGGTCTGGGACCAAGGCCCTTGATTCGAGGGTAGTCTGGGCCTCTACATCCCTGAAAGCTGCGTCTCAATTCAACCTCAATGCCCCAGAACCTGAACCCTGAACCCTTGACCCTCAAAAAGACTGCAACCGCAAGGTAAGCCCGTCGCCGAACCCAAAATCTCACGTGCCTGCCGGCTCCAAGGACTGTAAGGGGATGAAAATACCTAACACCCTAGAACCCCCCCCCCCCCCCAGCGTGAACTGGGAAGCGGGCGATGATCACCAGAAAACCTCCGTCAGGGTTCAGGGTCCGGCGCAGGTTTAAGTCTTTCATGGCTTTTGAAAGGATTCAGGATGGTTTAGTTCTGCGTAGGGCTGGGTAGGTAGAAGTAGGACGAGTAGCTTTCTTACTTACAGCCGAGTCCTTTTTTGGCGGGCCGTTTTCCGAGGGATCTTAAGGAGCCCTAAACCCTCATCCTATCCCCTTCAAAGGCCCCTGTCTCTACAACAAGCACTGGGTTGCTCACTCTATTCCGGTTTAGGGTTTAGGGTTTAGGGTTTAGGGTTTAGGGTTTAGGGATTAGGGTTTAGGGTTTAGGGACTCTGTTGCCATTGAATAACTCCTAGATTACCACTTGCGGCGCCGAGGGGCAGAGGGAGTGGAGGATATAGCGGCTGAGCTGATATCCAGAGCAGGTTGCGGGCGTGGTGCACGCCACCTTCCCCCAGCTCAAGGCCGCATGTCCGAATGACGCTTAGGGTTTAGGGTTTAGGGTTTAGGGTTTAGGGTTTAGGGTTTAGGGTTTAGGGTTTAGGGTTTAGGGTTTAGGGTTTAGGGTTTAGGGTTTAGGGTTTAGGGTTTAGGGTTTAGGGTTTAGGGTTTAGGGTCTGGGTTCGATTTGGCAACTTTGGAGCTTGGTTTTCCGGCGGCAGGGTTAGAAAGAAGTCGCAATAGAAATGCCCCGTTTAGGGCCATAACCATATCACTACGTGTACTACTCTGTGCCCTACTTGCCCCTACGTACAAGCTTAGCTAAACCATTTATGACTCTTGTGGGCTCCCTAGTGCGGCCTCGAAAAAAGCCGTGCATCCCATCCCTGAACTCCAAACCCACAAGCCCTGCAAAAATTTGACATAGTGGGACAGCATCTACACACAGCGCACCTGGAACCCTCAACCACCCGCCTGGAAAACTCCCAGGTAGAAGGAGATGATCGAAACTGCCTTGTGTGAAGGGGCATAGGGTGTTGTGGGATGCACCTTGCACCGTCAAAGGTGGTTTACACGCGTGTGGTGTTGTGCATTTGCCAGCACAGATTATTGCATCACCCTCAAGAGGACAAATCCATGTTCGCCTTATTAAGCAACAACACATTGCGGACACATGTCTTCAGGCAATTTAACGCCTTCATGCATTCTGGCAAGGCTTCTGATGAGAACTCCTTCTCTGTACAGTCCAGATGCGTGCAGGAGACGTAAATTCTTGAAAACCACGTACTGACTACCAAGATGCGCTGCACAAAGACACTGTGAGTTGAGAGTGCCAGTGAGAGGGACAGTGAGCGTGAGAGTGAGAGTGAAAATGAGTGTGAGAGTGAGATTTCAAGCGAGAATGTGAGTCTAAATTATAAAATCCCTTAAATAAATTGCGGAGACCTATTTTTTTGGAGGGGGAGGCCTATGAGATTGGGTGGAGATTAGGGTATGTACACGGCGGCAGAGTGGCCACTGCGAAGCGGATTTCCGAAACGTCGAGGCTGCTTCTCAAGACCTGCTGGTGCGGAGGCTCTTTTGCTTGTGCCTTCTCTTGGCAGGAACGCTACTGGAAGGAGCACATTCTGGAAAACAACTCAAGACCCAATCCCAAGACCCCAACCGAACTTTGACATGAGTTTCCCAAAACGTAAACAAACGAGGCCTTCCAGCCCAGGGAGAGGAGGAGGAAGGACATGAGCTCTAAGATATTCTGCACCTCCACCGTTCTGCACCCACAGAGCACAGGGCTGAGGGCGCGGGTCACAAAGCCTCAAGAAAATTTACATCAAGCACGCCGAGGCTTCGAAAATTTAGTGAATACCCTGCGGCCTTCTCAAGGGTTTAGGGTGTAGGTCTTAGCGGCCTGCTGTCCCTAAACCCTTTTTGAGCACGGACTGGGAAACTGCCGGCAAGCAGGGGGAGCATGCTCTTAAACCCTAAACCCTAAACCTGGCTGACTGTGCCACTCCGCAGGAACATCCCAAGTTAGCGGACTTAGGTTTAGGGTTTCGGGTTTCGGGTTTAGGGTTTCGGTTTAGGGTTTGGGGTTTAGGACAGTTTAGGGTTTAGGGTTTAGGCTTTAGGCTTTAGGCTTTAGGGTTTTAGGCAACAAACTGGATAATTCCTCAAGAGCCGCCGCTGAAGGCCTCCTACCAATCGAGCCAAACACCAGCTTGACCACACTTGAAATTCCGAACTTGTACCTGGAACCCTGAACTCTGAAGCCAGCCCCTAACGCTAACCCTAAACCCTAAACTGTAAACCCTTGACCGAGTCGTTGCTGCAAGGGGCCTTGGAAAGTAGCTTCCAGGTGATGTCCTCATTCTCGGGGTTGGCTTGGGTTAGGTTCGCAAAAAAACACCAAACAGGCCAATCTGTTTAGGAATACCCGTGAACCATCGTGAACCTGGTGGCGGCTCAGGGTGAAAAAAACGCCTCCACCCCCGAGCCCCCCTAAACCCCCTAAACTAGAACGCCTGCAGGCTATCCAGAACCTAATTTTTTCTACTACAGTAGAAGAGCCCAAAAGGTCGTCTAAAGGTGAACCACCAAAGAGAGGGCCCAGCAGCTACAACAGAGGACTCGATGCCGGTGGTCGCCACGATGCGATAGTCTAACCAGCGCAGCCTGTGCTCTCTATAGGGTTTAGGGTTTAGGGTTTAGGGTTTAGGGTTTAGGGTCTAGGGTCTAGGGTTTAGGGTTTAGGGTTTAGAGGGTTCGGGGTTTCAGTCCAAGGCTTTGTCCGCATGGCTTCGGCCTTAGGATGATCTGGGGGCTCAGGTGTACTGTGGGGCGTGGGGTGTGGGCAGCTTCGTCCCGCGCCATTCCATCGCCAACTCCCGGAGCCTTTTCGAAACACAGCGGTCAGTCCCAGTCTGGTGCAAGTTCGTGAGGCCGGATGGAGCAAGGGGCAAGGATGGAATGGAAGCTTCTGGGCAGAGTTGTCATGTGAAAGATATAACTGAAAATGGGTTGAGCATACTGTCCGGCTGTGAAGTCAGAAACAGTGTGAGCTGCAAAAGTTGGCTACGGGCAGCTCTACACCGCACCTCCGCCTCTTTGCGCCCAACGTTGTGCGGGGCCCCTACGCTCGCGATGGCACCCATGAAGTCTGAAGGTATCATCAGAAGTGGGCACGGTGGCGAAAATGACAGGACATAAGACCCCGCATGTGACCTGTTGTGATCCCAATCTCAATGCCATGCGCAAGCCAAAGTTGAAATCCTATAGTTTTCCTGGTGCTCGTTCTGTGCGGGCACCACTCGGCTCAGAACAGGTCCATGACGAAGTCGCCGACATCTTCAGCAGCGCCGGCAATCCACTCTCCTGCATCCTGCGCAGAGGAAAGCATTCAGGCAGGCGCCAAAACCAGGCCATGGTGCATGGAAAGCGTTAGCATCGAATTCGGGGGTTTTCAGATCTTGGGAGAGACGCGCAAAGTCAGGCACGCCGGCTTGCATGACCATGTCCGAACACCCGCTGCTACATGCCGCTACCTGGCTACCCTGCTACTCTGAGTCCTCAGCAGCTCCGGCGATGGCCTCACCGACATCCTCGGCGGCTCCGGCAATGGCCTCACCTGCATCGGCGGCGACATCGCCGAGCTCGGCCATAGTGGCATCCCAGCCCTCCTCGGCGATGTGCTCACCCAGCACGGCGCCTGCCACCGCCAGTCCACCCACGGCCACGACACCTGCCGTACCGGCAGCAACCTTGGCGCCCGTGCTCCAACCCCCGCTCTTGGCCTTGTCTGCGGCGGGTGCGGCTGGTGCAGCGGGATCCGCTGGTGGTGCGGAAGGCGTCGGGTCCGCCACAGGCTTGGGCAGGTCGGAGTCCTTGGGAATGGGCACCAGCAAAGCAGCCCCCACCTTGGCACTCGCCGGCACGTTGACCGCGATGAACTGGCCCTTCTGCTGCGGGTGGGGAACATGAATGACCGTTCCCGGGGCCCCTGCCGGGACCTTGATGCAAAAGGTGGGGCCAGGCTCGACAATCGGCTTTGGCGGCGGCTTCCACTTGAACGGGGGGCGGATTTCGCGGGCCTTTCCGGTTCGCATGTTCTTCTGGTTCATGCCAGAGAAATCCACCTCATACTGCTGCCCTCGCAGCTTGTACTTGGCATGGGGGAAGCCAGCCAAGTACGCACGCTTCAAGATCTTGTCCTCATTGCCACCGTAGTCCTGGTAGTCTCTCACTTTGAAACCAGCACTTTGCCGCGTCTACCCAGGTTCGTAGACTAGTAATTGCAGGAAGTAGAAGCTCAGAGGAAGATTTGCTCACTTCGGCCGATTACAAAAGTAAACCATACAAGTAGCCTCTGCCGTCCAGGTGCGACTACGCCGTGCTTTGCTACACAATGCCAGGCTGTGCCACACTGCGGTGTTCTCTATCATTGGCACCACATTGTAATTTAGCACCTGCAAGAACAAAATCTCCCGACTGCCTCATGAATCTATAACACACAGACCAGTCCTTCCAGTTGCCGCCCAACTTCACCTGGAAGTGATCTGCCGGCATCTTCTCCTGCGCATAAGGCTCTTTGGGACTGAGTGTTTTGGGGGTTTCGGGGCTGCTAGAACGATAACACTTTGATACCCTTTTTCCGCGACCCTATGCTATACCCTGGCTTCAACTCTAGCGCATGACCCTAAAGAGCTCGCAGCCTCGGTTTGAGGCCAACCTAGTTGTGCTTTGGGAGCCCTCTCCAAACGAGTTAGGAGCTAAAACCCTATGAGCCATGGCTGCTTGAAGCATTCAACCCTGTGGTCACTCCTCGGACGCAAATGCGAATCACAAGTTCAGCTGCGGGGATGACTGTCAGAGCCACAAAAGATGCTGCAGGCGAGGCGGGCGATTGGCAAGCTGCGTAGGGTCATAGGGGTTTCGGGTTAAGGTCTCTGGCAGAGGGCACCTGACCTTGCAAGCGCCGGCACCCCAACAGGCCAGAAAAGAGATTCGTGACCCAGAGAGCTCAATACCCGTTACGTACGGGATATTGCCTTTGCTCATTTTAGGGTGGGTCCCTAGTGTGGTTGAGGCCATACTCGTTAATTCTGGGGGCATTGGGCTCTCTGCGCAACTCCGTGTCCACAACTCTCCAGCGCATCCGGGGCACATCAGCGAGAGGCCCCGGAGGAAAATGACAGTCAGGGCTAGGCAATGCCTCGGACAACGACGCACTTGCCCTAACACCTCAACCCTCAACCCTTCTCCCAACAGGCTTCTAAGCCTCCCCTGCTGACCCTAAAACTGTGTTGATGCCCAGCCTAGGCCAAGGATGCGGAGGACCTTCTCCTTTACAAACCCTCAACTCCTCAACCCCCAACACTCCTCAACCCCCAACACTCCTATGCGCGATCATGAAAACTTGTTAGATCTCGAACCTTGACCTCACATCGAGTTGAAGGGGCAGGTAAGGCAGAACATTCCTTTGGGGTTTGGCTTTGGGCTTCGGGGTCACCACGTGCAACAGGCCTGAAGGCTAGAAGGCGCTTCCAAGCCTGAGCCTGCGTAAGCCTGCGACCCTCGTTTCTCATCTGCTCTCAAACCTTGAAGCCCCACACCCGAACCCCCCCCGAAACCTGAAACACTGGCTGCGCCTTATTCGCACACTTCCAGTCCTACATTGAACCGCTAATCTCTAACTCCTCCATGGCACAGCACACTTCGACCGCTGCGCGGCCGGGTGACCAGGCCCAGCGCAGTAAAGACCGCCGTCATCTCAGATAGATTTTCGGGCTGGAGGCGTGACTCGGCGCAGGATGTCTAGGAGGGCTTCTCACGGGCTTCAGGTTTGGGGTAAGTTTCGCATTGAGAGTGCTCCCAGGCAAGGCACGCAAGAACCACTGCAGCGCAAGCAGAGAAGGACATGCAATGACATTCCAGGGGTTAAGATGGGCATGGGCCTCTTTTATCGACAACTGCGGTGGCCCCATCTTGAAAAACTTTGTTCACTCAGCTTGGTGGAGCAAGCCAGATGCTTGAAGTTTGAATTGCTGATGGTCCTCACCTTGTGCTGCTTTCACAGAGGATAAAGGAAGACACCTGTGAGTAGCACGTGCCCCAGACAAAGGAGTCCGACAAGTGCGGCGCAGCTGCGAAATAGACGTTCCCCGCAACCAGGAGAGTCTTGGGCACCTCCACGTCCTGCCAGAAGCAAGACAACATTCCGCATCGTGTGAGAAGCTCCGCTTTTCTGGACGTAACTGCCCCTACCTGGCAAGCGCGCTAAGCATCAAAAGTTGGCGTCATGTGGTTTCATCGACGTCGATCTCTGAACAAAGGTGATGGACGACTTGGAGAAGCGACTGACAGATGCTGAGCCCATGTACCTGCCCTTGCTGGTTCACTTCTGCAGGCATCTGAAAGAGGCTCAGGGATCCTACTTCGGGGCCTGGACGCTCAGCTGCTGGCCGTTGGGATTCTCCAGTGTCAGCGTGCCACGGATGGCCAGAGGCCTGGGTTCGGGGACCGGGGCCAGCAGGGAGGGTTTAGGGTTTATAGGGCTTCAGGGTTTAGGGTTTAGGAGCGGATGGATCAGGAGGTCTTTGAATTCTGGGTATGATGATGATGATGATGAGTAACCTGTCCCCACGACAGCCAGCCGTTGAATCGGCATAGCGATCTGCAACCGCAGCCGCCACTTTGATGACTTCAACCTCCCAAGCCAGAGCACGGCGCACCTCTTCTGCATATTTCGCTCGAGGTGAGCCCCTCCAAATGAGATCAAGACAAGATCGCGCAGCACTATCTGTTTCTCTATGCTGCCAGGGTCGAGCCAAGCCTAAGTGGTGAACCTACAGAGGTTCCCGCCTTCTCTTTCGGCTGGTCAGGGCTGAGGGTGTTCCAGCCCTTCATGCCGCACCGTTTCTCCCGAAGCCGAAACCTAACCTTTGTGTCTTTTTGTGTAGGGCATGGGGCTGGATCTCTGGCTTTTGGGGTTTGAGTTCCATCAACAACCCCTAAGCCCGCACCCCGGGAGCATCATGTTTGTCAAGGCACGACTTCGTCGCCGACATGATGACGATGTTGTAGCGATCCCGGCCACCGGTGGCTTCCTTGTTCAGGGTGGCGAAGGGCTCTTGGTGCCTACGGAGGTTTAGGGCGTTTTTTGTCTTAGGGTTTCGGGTTTCGGGTTTCGGGTTTCGGGTTTGGAGGGCTTGGGGGGTGGAACCCTGGACCGACGTTTCAGTGGAGGGCTTTGCAGGCTTTGGGGCCTTTTTCAGTTTAGATTTCCCCCAGACCCCAGGGTTTTTCCTTTAGAGGCTCTTGATGGGCTTTAGGCAATTTGGGGGTTTTCGGGTTCAACCCTACCAACCAACCCGGAAACCCAAACCAAAGACCCGAACACCTCAGGGGGAGTGCAACACTTAGGGCTTATTTAGGGTCTGGGGGGGCGGAGACATCAAGGTTGGGCACTGGAAGGTGGGAGATTTGGGGTTGTTGGGGTTCTTGGAGGTTTCTGAATTCGGCCTGCACATCTGTGACAAGCGTGTACAAACCTGACACTGAACGCCCCCAAAAACCCACCAAAAACTCCCCACTCTGAACCCCGAAACTCGAAACCCCCCCGTGGGCCCCCCCCGCGTCCTCGGCCCGGAAGTAGCCCCGGAGGTGCTCTCGGAGGTTGGCGCGGTAGGCGCTCACCAGGAAGCTGTTCAGTGGCCGCGGGGCCTTTTTCTGACAACAGGCCAGTTAGGGCTTCTGGGGGTTTGGAAGGTTTTGCTTTTATGTTTGTTTCTTGGGTCAGGCTCGCTTGGGGTTTAGGCTGGGCTGGGGGTTGCGGGCTGCAGCTCTGCTCGCTGCCCTCTTCTTTGAGACCGGCTCCCTTTTGGGGCCCCTGGAACATGAACCGCTCACGAGTAGCGTAAATGATCCTCTGCCCAAGCACTGCATGCAAAAACCCAAACGTGCTCCAGCTCCCGCGGCTTCCTTCTCGCTCAGCGGGACTAGTATCGCCAGGTCCGCATCTGCATCGCGCCATTCCAAAAGCCTGGGGGATGCACGCGACTTCTAGTTGACCACCAAAGCCGCGCGGCCCTACATGACGCCTCTTTTTGTCCTATTGTTTTGGGTCCTACATTTACATCTTACACGGCCCGATCAAGATCCGACTGCCCTTTTTACCCGCACATTCCAAGCCTGGCTCTGGGTTGCCCTAAACTATGTTTGGCACAAGGACCCAATGTTCGAGGTCCTGTAAATCGTCAGCAACCCGGAAAGGATCGATCTCCAAGAAAAAACCCCCTCGGTCTCCCAAAACCCTGGCCGAAAGTGGTGGCAAAGCTGCTGGCTGCGAGTGAGGATAAGCCTGGGTGGACAAAGTTCTCTCGGCCTACATCTGCTTGGAGGGATTCGCAGTCTTCAGGCTCAGGGGTTTTGGGTTCAGCGTGGGGTTGGTTCATGGACAGTCTCTCTTGCCTCCAGCTTAGCGCATCTAAGAAGCATGGCTGTTCGCAAGCCTGCACGTGCATCTTCTTCTTCTTCTTCTTCTTCTTCTTCTTCTTCTTCTTCTTCTTCTTCTTCTTCTTCTTCTTCTTCTTCTTCTTCTTCTTCTTCTTCTTCTTCTTCTTCTTCTTCTTCTTCTTCTTCTTCTTCTTCTTCTGTTTTAAGTTTTGCCGCCGGATAAAGCTGGATGAGAACATCCCCTTCGCAAAAATCTCGGGAAAGCCAAGTTGGGCTGATTTTCAGTCCTACATGCAGCTCATGCCTTCCGGGTGCTGCGACGCACGCTCTTTGCAGATCATGCAATAGAAAAGTGCAGGGTACCTCTGCTGTGTTGGTACCTGGTTTGGATGTAAGCATGCAGGCGCCACCTCCTGAATCCGCCCCGGGCCCTAAAACCCTCAAAGCCTGCGGCCTAGAGAACAAAAGCTAAGGGGCACATAGGTGTCGTTGGCTGGCTGACCTCGGCCAACCAAAAACAAACATGCAGAGAGGGGGGGCACGGAGACACATGTGGCGTGATTCTTTGTTGGAGCAAGCCCTTCTTGGAGCAGGCTTGCGGGGGGTCTCGCCGGGGATGCTGAACCGCTAGAAGGTCCTGAGCCCTGAGCATCAGCAACCCGAAACCCGAAACCCTGAGCCCTAACGGTCCAGGCCACTGTTAGTCAGGTCCATAGCGATGTGCCCGCCCACATCTAAGCCAAAGTCGCTCACCTGGTTTTCGGCTTCAAACAGAAAGGCGGGGTTCATGGCCTCAGGGTTTAGAGGTTTAGGGTGGGGGCTGAGGGTGAGAGAATTTCCGAGTAGGTAAAACGAGGGGTGTATATAAGTAGGGTACCTCTACCCATATCCTTGGGGCACTAGAAGCCCTACCATGAACCTTCAAGATGGGCCTTGAGGCACAGGGCCTTAGGAAGCCCAGGGCTGCGGACTGACCCAAGGGGAACAACCGAGGGCTTACAGGCACTCTTGACCCCTCAACCCTCAACCAGAAACCCCCGCAACCTCTCAACCCTAAACCCGGAATATATGAAGCAAGGCGAAGCTGAAGGTAAAAAGGCCCGACGGTTTGAGGGTGTGTGAGGTTTGGGGAGTAAGCGTAGCCCTTTGCCGCTGCACGTACAAGGCACCAACCACGAGGCGATGTTGTTGCTCATCTGGAAATTCACTTGCCTGTGTGCCGAGGCTCTTGCAGAAGAAAAGCTTCGGAACTGTTCTAGATTATTCTAGGCGTAGCGCACGCGCGGGTGCGTGTGCGCATGTGCGCAGTTGCGCGGTCTGTGTGTACCACCTGCTTCTGGTTGAAAGTTGTCACTGTGGGCTGAAGCAGCCTGGTGGGGCCTTGGGCAGTTTGTCAAGCATTGGAATTCCGACTGCTTGGAGTTTCATGGGTAGCTATGACTTCGGTTATAACTAGGGCAACAAGGCCAACAACAGCTATAAAAGGCTATAACCTCTTTGGGGTAATTATGACTTATGACTCTAGCTGAAAAACATAACGCCATGAACCTTCCAGCAGGGCTGAGGCTTTAGGAGGCGTAATTGAGTAGCCAAGCCACACCTGCACAGCATCTGCGCTATACATGCAAAGGTAGGCCAAGCACCATACCTGCGCTGTCCATCGCAGTTCTGGAAACTAGCACTGGGGGCAGATTCCGCGCTGGGTATTAGGCTCTACTCTCTTGAAAAGCACCTTTGCCATTCCAGCCCAGTTGTACCGAGGGTGCCACTGGTGCTGGTACTGGAGGTTGTGGCTTGCCGTGTTCGAGCTAGAAACTACAGCTGGTAAGGGCATGAAACTGCATCAACGCGACCCTCATTGCATCAACTTCTTGGGTATGCCGCTGAAACTGAACCAGCCTGTATCCCCAAGCAAAGAGGTTGATTTCGAACCGCACGGGCCTGCAAAGATCTTGCCTGCGACCTGCCGTGTCCAGACACGTCTGCTGTCCACGTCATCTGCGCCTGTCTACAGATCACCCATGGCGGCCATGGCAGGTTGAGGCAGACCTGGTGAAAGAGAATGACTCAGGGCTTAGGAGTGTAGGGTGGGGGAGGACGACGTGTTCTTAAGCTGCGATCTTGCCCTTATCTATCTCCAAGCTAGAGCTCGACGCAACAACGTCCACCATCTCATCGTCAGCTGTCGTGGCAAGTGAAGTGTTGCTATGCGCTGTCGGCTGCCGCTGTTCACTCATCAGTTTGGGTCAGATTGGAGCACTACAGAAGGCCAGGAACCCGGATCACAGAGCCATGGTCAATTCTCCAAATTAAGTCCCTTTTCAGGCATAGACAGGAGGCGCCGTGGCATACTAGGACCCCGAAAAAGACGCATGGAAGAAAACCCTGCACAGAATCACCGATTCGTGGGGGTCAGGGGCTGGCGCTGCAGAGCCTAAGCCCTTCAAGGTATCCTCTTTTTGAGGTCTTTTCTGGCACCCCGTAAGGACAAGGAATAAGGGTACCACCTGAAGGTCTCAGTGCTTGCCAAAGTTCAGGTTCAGGTTCTGGGGACTCAGGGATCAGGGCCCCAGAACCTAACACCCGCCCCCGGCTCCCTGCCAATTTCCCTGTGGCACGCCTCACCACCAAATCACCGCCCAGTCCTACGGCAAACCATTTATCATGCCATTAACGGTTGTAAGAAGAATTCCTGGTATTCCTACATGCTCATGGCATGACTAAGAACATCGCGCACGCTGGCTTCTTTGTCCGGCGCCGGTCCTTTCAAGCCATCTGCGTGCCGGATCCCTACATATTAACCTGCGGGGCTGCCTCTTGGCTTTACAAGGTTCGGGGTTGAGGGTTGAGGGGTTTTTCTTCGCTGAGGCTTCAACTCACCGGGTTTCGGGGTTTGTGCTGTATAACGCGAGCGTGTCACCGGTTTGGGGTTTATAGGGTTTGTAGGGCTGCTAGGGTTTGCAGGCTTTCATCGGGCTCATAAGCTGTCACAGGACCTCTGGGGAGCACAGGGCCCCGACTCAAGCTTCCCGAACTTGGGGGGATGGGTTTGCACAAGGCCGGATTCCGAGAAACTGACCGTGACTCCGCCGCGAGAAAGAGTAGGCTCCGGAGCCCACTTAGGGCTTTTTGGGTTTGGGGCCTCCTTGAATCCTTTCGAGAGTTAGAGCTTGGGGTTTTCGGGTCCAGATGCGTTGTGCCTCTGGCAGGCGGCCCACACGGTGAATTAGCACTGGCCATGGGTCTCTTCAGCCTACACAACACAAGCCCCTTTTAGCCATGCTTAGCCCTAAACCCTAAAGAGCTCTTCTTCGAAGCTGGAGGAGCAGCCTTCAACTACGGAAAAAGACCCATGCCTGCATCGACTCTGCGTGTAGATAACGCAGCGTGCTGACCTTAAAATTCAAGTCACGCGCGAAGAAGCGCAATCCCTTGTCCAGTGAACCCTCTAGACCCCTAACTCTTGGAGTTCACTGAGGTGCCTTGGACCAGTGGCCACACAAAGCCCGTGCTTCAACCCCCCACTTACCCACGAAGTTGTGCTTCAGTTCGTGCATTAAGACTCGAAGCGCGAAGATGAGGCACTTTTGCACAAGGTGACGTTTTCACTGCCTTTAGGGAATCTAAGGCTTCACGCACAACAACTTATGACACTACGCGGTTTGAGAGCATGTTGAAGACAAAAACTCGGTGGCTGATGCCTCTCTGATGGCAATAATTTGGGTCGGACTTGGGGCGTAGCTTGACGGTCCTTTGGAGGCTGCTGAAGTTGGGGTCGCCTCGCAGTGAAGCCTAACACCCTCCGGCGCTTTGGGGTTGGAGCTTCCGCGACTTCCTCTGCCGTATCCGGCTTGTTTGGGTTCAGGGGTTCAGGGCTTCAGGGGCGGCCCGCTCTCAACTCGGGAGGCAGCCAATTCAGTGATACCGCAGAGATCGGCCTGGGCTCGAGCACAGGGAACCAGCCACAGTCTGGGTGAGGCAGTCTCCGTAGGACCCCAACACCAAGCTGACGATCTCCCTACTAAGCCAGCAATGAAAGCGTAGAAACACAAAAAGTCCTGACAACACCCTAAACCCATGCAGTATGCTGATGTATTGTGATTGGGGCAGCTTTCGCTGCGCACCTCTTCTGCCAGCTTTTCGCGCGGTCCCCACAGGTTGGAAGCCCACCGACGGCCACCGAACGGTTCGGTTCGGGCATACAACCGTCTTACTGAGAGTCAGACGCTTAGGTCCAATATTGCAGGAGGGTGTGTTTCTCAGGTATATCAGCGACCCCTTAGGCTCACGCGAATGCAAACTGCAGGGCAAGGGTCCAACATCTCATTGCACAGCAGCCTTCCCATTCCCCACACCCACGGGCTCTGGTACTCTGTGCCCACTCTTACAGAGCCTCCGCAGACAACGCAGATGTGGTTGAGAACGCCGTGGAGAGAAAGAAAAAAACAAACGACAAAAACAAAGATAAAGCGAAGGACCTTCGCAACTCATCTGCAAAATCTGAGCGGAAGGTTCGTGGCTAGGGTTTCTCACTTGCCTTCCTCCCCAACACCCATGAAGTGGCACGGCGGGGGTCGGCAGACCGAAAGGTTCGTGGCTGGCAATGACCAAACACAAGTCATACCCCCACAACACAACTAGTGATGTAACCACCCAGAAAAAATCAACCAGCTTTTGCTGTAGTTACCCTGGTTTAGATTGCCAGCTATTGCTACCAGCACCTTGGGTCCCCAGTAGAGACCACACGAAAACCCAGAGTCCAGACCCTTTCAGCGCCTTAGATGACCTATCTGATGCAAGGGCCTGGTCAGAGGCGGCGGCGGAGAAGACCGTTTACGGAGAGCTTGTCGGACCTTTTGCTGTGCGTTTGGGCTTGAGAGGGTTGGGGTTCTCAAGTTTGAGATTAAGGGGTTCTTTAGGGTTCTCAGGGTTTGCTTTGCCACCTGCTGGGTTCAGGAATCCAGGGACCTACACTTTCGTGTTCGAGCGTGTGCTCTACAAGGTGAAGTTCGGCTCGGCCTCAGAGACTTCTGGGATTGCACAAGGTATCGGAATTTGGGGTGGAGACTCAACAGGCCTGAACGGCTTAGGGCTTAGGGAGTTTAGGACTCAAAATGCCAGCTTTAGGTCTCAGCGACTTCCAGCGCCCGCCGGGTGTCCGCAGAGACTTGGCGTGGGAGGCCGGCGAGGGCGTCAGCGTGCGCCCTTCCTGCACAGGCCCCGAAGCCTACGCCCTCTCAACTCTAAAACCCTACACCCCGCAACACCCTAAAGACCAAGTTTAACAAAACCCAAAAGCCAATGCCGGGTCAGAAGTAGGGCAGCTGTAGCTACAGAAAGCCTCGTTTGGGCCATGTGTAACCCAAGTAAAACTCCCAACAAGCCTCCCAAACCCGCCCCCCGCCCCCAACTCGGGAGGGGGGAGGGGAAGGGGAAGGGAGCCGGGGGAACCTAAACCCCTGAACCCTGAAGTTGGGGGGAAGTGGCGGCGTTGGGGGTTGTCGGCCTCAGAAAGCATCGTGGCTTCAAGGGACTTCGACATCTGTGCGACCACCTCCGAGATCGTTTCTTTAGGGTTTAGAGCTCAGGGCCCGGGGTTTTAGGCCTCATGGTTTAAGGTGGGGCTTAAGCCTACGCTCCTGAAGATGGGGCTTGGCGATCACTTCAGGGCAATGTGACAGCAGAACCTGTAAAGAGAACTCTGACTTCCGTCTAAAGGGATGGGGCATGTCACAGTTGAACATCGTGATTGAACCTTGTGGTTCGACAGTCAAGGCTCGGGATGGGGAGAGGGGGGGTCCTTGCTCTAGTGCACTCCTCATGTCCAGCTTTTCCCGGCTCGTGCTCTTTGACACAGACTGTCAGCCGTGCTGCTTGATCACCACAAGCCTGTGGCACGGACTGAAACTTCTGCGCCGCAAGGTTCTTCGGCGTAGCTCGGGTGAAGGGGGTAAAATGTTCAAGGCTTTGGGTGAGCTCCATAAACCTGACAACCTTTTTGCACGGACTCCTTATAAACTACACCCCTAACCTCGTGGCAGGGATGTACCGCTCAAGACTTCTGCCGCAAAGAGGCTCTGCGAAGTGCACTGCAAACACTTTCCGGAGCTTCTGAAGAAATTCCTCTTGCTATCCCAGATTTCCAGACCTCCCGATGAAAGAGGTGCAAGGGTTCAACATTGAACTCCACCCAGCCTGTAGGCTGCTGAGTGGGGCCAGTTTCTGGCACAAGTTGGCTTCACGAAACTCGACATACCCTGGCTGGGTTCGCTGTAATCTAGAGTGGCACAGATTGGAATACCTTGGTCTGCTGCTGCCGCGTCCACGCTGAGGCGCCTTCCAGACCAGGCTAAGAGAAATACCCTCAGAACTCGCAGGCCGCAAGCCGTCGCCGAGCTCAAGGTGTTGGAGCCTTGCAACTTTTGCATTCTACACCCCTGCAGAACGGCAGATACCACAGTTCCATTCCAAAAAGACATATCAACAACAAACCGGCAACACAGGAACTCCCACGGGAAAATGTTCTGATAGTTCAAGCCGTAGGGCCTTAGGGTTTACTCTTGGATGGTAAGCTTCAAGTCTTCAGGGCGTGACAGGCTTCAGAGCGCAGTTTGTCCCGCAAGGTCCCAAAAGGCAATAGGGAGCCCAACACACTCTTCAGCAAAACCCCCTGGCTGCCCCCTGGCTCATGGATCCCAAGGGATGTGGTTCCATTCATCGCCCTTGTTTACGCACACAGAACCCGGCGCATCTACCCTGTCTTGGAGCTCCCCGAAGCCCCCCCAAACCCTGAGGACAAAAGGAAGTGGTAAGGCTTCGGCCCGCTGCTTCACTGCGATCCCCAGCTCCCAGCGGCATACAGGGAACGTGCCCGCGAAACTCCAGGTACAGAGCTCCTGCGACCGGCTGTGACCGCTGGGCGGGGCCAAATGCCAAAGAAACCCTCGACTAAAATGACCAAAAGGGTCTGTCTGGGCAAGACGCGGGACTTAGACTCGACAGGTTGACGTCACTTTTCAGGGTCTCTGCGTAGGGCCCCATGCTGCTAGGTCTAAAGGAATGGTGTCGAGGGGTGGCGGATGGAGGTGTTGGCTGCTTCTTGGGGGCCCCGAGGGCTGATGAGTTTGCACAGTGCAGATCCAAGGCAGGTAAGGGTGCAGGTTAGAGAGTGTAGTGCTTGAGGGCTTTTGGGGGATATAGTTCCGGCTTGAGGCAGGTGTGCTCTTTAAGCACTCAGGGTTTAGGCGACTGAAACCTGCGAGGGTAAAGGGTTTGAGTTTGCTTTGCTCAGCAAAAAGCAGGCTTGGGTGGGCGCCTCCCAATTCGCCAGTGTCATGCTCGCTCCCAGGCCTACCGAAAGACCCATGGCAAGGGCCAGGAGTTGAGGAGACTTGCTAGGAATTTTGACCTTGCGGAATAACATTCTCCTTGCAAAAGGGTCCTGAACCCATGGCTGCGCCGACAGGAGCTTGATGGAGTCCCGATTGCAGTGGCAGACCCTGGGGCAGGCAGGGCAGAACCAGAAACTTGTACCCCAATCCTAGAATAAGCCTCAGCTCGAAAATGCACCGTCTGGGTAGATTCAGGCTCTGTGAGGTGGCAGCATTTGGCTTCCAGCAAAAAGACGCGGACAAGGCGGGGTCTAGCACTCAACACTAGGCGCAAAGCTTCCTGGCGCCGCTGCGCGCCACTACTGCTCTATGTAACTCCAGCACTTTTATACATAAAAGAACCAAAAGCCACCGTGCTGCAGTGGAGGAGCCAGGCAGGACTCACAGCGTGCTGCAGCACCCGAAGCAAGGAGAACTCCTTGCAAAATCTCCAAGGCATGAGTCGATTTGAAGGTTGCAGGTTCAGGCTTCAGGGCTCCGGTAGGTGTAGTAGGTGTCTGAACTCCACCGCTAAAGGCACTGCCAAAGCCGGGACCCCAGAGGTCCGACAGCACGTGCTCCGAGAAGTAGACGCGGCCACCAGGCTTGAGATGCGCATCCACCGCCTGGAAGAAGCCCTGCCACAGAGAGGGAGGGCACACCCGCTTGGAGGCGCATGGGTGATAGTTAGAACTGGTTCAATCCTTCTATAGGACACCTCGATCCTACGTAGAACTCTAACTACTCACACGTCGCATCGTCAAGCACGTCTCCAAAACCCCTCAAAAAATAAACAAAAACCAAGCGCAACAGACCCATGAGCCCGCAAGCAAGGTTGAGAAGGGAGGGTCGAGAGGCATTGCAACAGGCAGGCAGGCAAGGAGGCTTTCACAAGAACCTTTGAAGCCGCTTCCCCATTTAGCCCCAAAGCCTGCCCCCTGATACACTAAGCTCCAAACCTTAAGGCTTTCTTGAACGTGTAGCTGAGGGTTTCCGCTACTTGAGCCTTTGTCGACCTAGGTTCCTTTTGCGGGGGCCTGTGTTCCAAAGAATTTGGCCGCCTTGGGTTGCTTTAGGGGACTCGCCTGCATTTCCCGACTCGGAATCAGCTTCCCGAAAGCTACCTAGACCTAGGCATCCACAGCTCCGCCCAAATTGCCTTCTGACACGGCACCTCGCACAGGACGGTCCCTCAGCACGTGCATGATTTAGGATTCTGCTTCTCAGGGTGTCACGGTTAGGGTTTAGGCGGTTCAGGGGGATCTTTTTGAAATTGGTGAGGATTGAAGTCTCTAGGTCCCCAGGTCTCGTGTTGAAGAACCCTAAGTCTAACCCGGTTGCTGTTGCCTTCGGGTCAGAAACCCCTAAGCCCTTACTGTAGGGCGCCCACCTCAACCAGCCAAGCGGCCAAAAACGATGCTGTCAAACTGTTCCGACTGCGGGAGGTCCTCTTCTCTCATCATTAGGGACTTCGGAGTTTCGAGTCTAGGCTCAGATCCCCAGCAGCCAATGCCTGGGGCTTGGGGTTTGGGGACTCGTCGCCTTGCATCTCCCCGTTGCCTTTGGAGGTTGGTTTCGGAGTTTAGCACTCTCCGACGGTCACTCTTGACTCTTGATAGTATTGATAGAGGTGTAAGAGCTTCTTGCGCGTCGTTGTGTTCTTTACCCTTCCCCTTGTCTTGATTCGGGCCCTCACAAGCACGTGCTTTTGCCATATAGTCGCCCGCACATTGAGTAGACGCTGAAAGGCCAATGAACTTGACCTCACTCAAACGTCATCCGTTAAGGTTCGCCTATGCCATGAACATGCCCTGAACAATTGAATACGAGAACCTTGGCACCTCCAGGAAAGAGGACGTCGTCTCCACTTCCAAGCTTGGCATTTGCTTCTTTGCCACCTAGTGCACGCAGACCGCCCAAACCCTAATACCCGGAACCCTAAAAGCCTTAAGCCCTTTTGGAACAGAGACTGTGCCCTGCTGGCCGTGAACCGTAAACCTCAACCCTGAAACGCTCTTTGAAGGGAGCGGCTGTCATGCTCAATACCTTCGACCCAAACGACCCTAAAACCCTGAAGCAACAAAAACACGCTTTGAACCCGGACTCGGACAGGCTTGCTGGGTCTCCCGGACTTGCTGAATGCCAGGAAACGGAAAGCGAGATGAGACACAATCCCACGACATTCGTGAGACAAACCGTGCGTCAGGGGAGGTGCAACCAAAAAAACTGAACACTAAACCCACCGCTCCAGAACTTATATTTTTCGGGGAGTAGGGTGCCTGTAAGGACACCTGATTGAAAGGCCGCAGTGCTATGGAACATATTTCCTGGGGAAGTGTTGGGTGTGAGAATGACTCCCACACATCTCGACGAAGCGGTAAGAGCCGTCCTCCACGATATACGATACATGGGATCTGTCTGTCTCATATAAGTAGGGTGGCTAGAAGAAGCGATGTTGAAGCTGCTGTACGACTTTGAGGTTGCTGCGTGCGGCGAAGCCCCACCATGATCTTCTCACATGCCCTTATAGTCCACTCTCAAGCCAAAACCGCACACATCCCCTAAGCCCGCTCTTAGGGGTGGAAAGGGGGGGGGGGAGGGGGGGGGGGGGGGGGGGGGGGGGGGGGTGGTGGGCATTTTTCAACCGCAAACCCCAAACCACCCCGGCCGAAAAAAAACAAAAATACCCAGCCCAAAAGCCTGTTGCTTCTGCACTTTGAACCGAAAATCCTAAACCATAACCCCAATAGATCCGTCTTTTGCTTCCTCGGAGGTTAAAGTCTAGATTCGGCTAGATTCTAGATATAACTGGTGTCTTAAGTAAGTAGGCAAGTATCGAGATATGACTGGTGATGGCCAATATGGACGTTGTTATTATAACTGTACTTCTGGTTACCCATGAACCTTCAAGCACATCCTCCATCTGCGCGCCTCCACATTGGCCCGGAGAGCGGAGTGGAGGTGGAGATTCGGCTCCTACTTGGAGAAAAAGCCCGGGCATGCTCGGGCTTTGTGGGTTTGCGCCTAGCAGCCTCGCACGCGTGCACGCGCACATATGCGCGCATGTGGGTGTGGGTGCGGGTGGGTGGGGTGGGTGGGGTGGGGGGGGGGGGGGGGGGGGGGGGGGGGGGGTGGGGGGGTGGGTGGGTGGGGGGGTGGGGTGGGTGGGTGGGGTGGGTGGGGT